GGAGACTTTTCAGGATAGAGGGAAAGATGAGTGCAGCAATGTACAGAGACATCCTTGATGAAAACCCGTTCCAGAGCGCTCTGGACCTTAGACTGGGGCCATGGTTCATCTTTCAACAGAATAACAACCCTAAGCACACAGCCCACATAACATAGGAGTGGCTATGGGCCAACTCTGTGAATGTCCTGGAGTGGCCCAGCCAGAGCCCAGACTTGAACCCAATTGAACATATCTGGAGATATCTGAAAGTGGCTGATGGAGCTTGAGAGGTACCGCAAAGAAGAATGGGTGAAATTGCCCAAAAAATAGATGTGCCAAGCTTGTAGCATCATACTCAAAGCAACATAAGGCTGTAATTGGTGCTAAAGGTGCTTCAACAAAGTATTGAGCAAAGGCTGTAAATACTTATGTACATGTTTTTTTTTATTAGTTTGCAAAGATTTCAAAACAAACTTCTTTCACGTTGTCATTATGGGGTATTGTTTGTAGAATGTTGAGGAAAAAAAATGAATTTATTCCATTTTGGAATAAGGCTGTAACATAACAAAATGTGGAAAAATTTAAGTGCTGTGAATACTTTCTGGATGCACTGTACACACTTTACAGCAGAACTCCTGTGGTTTTTTTTTTTTTTTTTTTTTATTATGTACACAGCACAAGTCAAATCACTTACCCTAGGTCCAGATCACCACTGATTTCTATTTAAATCCCAGTTTTATTCAAGTCGGACACCACACAGACAGCGTTTTTCCTCCAGTGCTGTGGTTGAGAGTTCCAACTCTCCTACAGTGATAATCTCCATAGGTCTGGCCATCACCCTTCCTTTCCTCTACCTTTATCAATTCACAGAGCACCTTTTATTCTGCAAACAGAATACAATTTACAAAATATCTGTTTTACAGAACGTCTTGGAATATGTGAACAGAAGCAAGATGTTCTGTAAATGGAGGAAGGGGAGAGGAAAGGGAGGGAGAATGAAAGAATCCATTCACTGTCTAAGAGTTGGAATGCTCAGCTGCAGGCAGGGAAGAAGAGCGATATCTATAGTATATGCCATTAAAAGAGAAGTATAAGCAGCACAAAAACACTAACATACACACACTCACCTAGATGGCTACAGCATCGATCCAAGCTGCATCTGTCCCCCACCGGCTCTACAATGAGAAATAAAAGACTTCTGATCACTCAGTTCTCAGTGAACAGAGAATTGGTAACAGTCAGTCACTGGCTCTCTGCTCTGCCCCTCCTGGATTGCTGGGCTGTGGAAGGGGAGGGAACAGCTGGCTCACTGGCGTGCTGGAAGGCTGAGCCAACTGCTGGTTAGACATCTGGATGGATCCCGATATTATTGTCAGGATCCCTGCAGATCATGGACTGGCCCTGTGACGTCAGCTGACAGCAAGCTTTAGCAGAACTAAGTGCACTCCTGTGATCCCCAGAATTATGTGTAACGGAACCGACCCAGACTGCGCTTGGGTACTTCTGTTAGACTACTGCTTCCCTATCCGAACACCAACAACAGACACCACAGCAGCCCATACAAGATTAGACGACACCAGTCTTGAAGTAAACCCGGAGTAGACTAGTTTATTTTAACCACTTCCAGACCGGACACTTTTACCCCCTTCCTGACCAGGGCAATTTTCAGCTTTTAGCGCTATCACACTTTGAATGACAATTGCGCGGTCATGCAACACTGTACCCAAATGAATTTTTTTACCATTTTTTTTTAGATAGATAAAGCTTTATTTTGGTGGTATTTATTCACCACTGGGATTTGTATTTTTTTTGCTATGTAAATGTCCAAAAATTTTTTAAAAAAGTGTTTTTTTATAAAAATTTTGCAAATAAATAATATTTCATCATAAATCTTAGCCAAAATTTATTCCGTTATTTTTTTAGTAAAAAAAAAAAAAAATCCAAATTAGTTTATAAGCAAAAATTATAATTTTTAAACATTTTTTTTTACGTTTTTATTTTATTTTTTATTTTTATTTTTTTTACATACTGTCACCCTAGCAGTACAGTGTCACCATGGTGACACTGTACTACTTGTGGGGGGTGATAAAGATTTTTTTTTTTTTTTTTTTACACTGATTGCTTTTACACCCATATAGGATGTAAAAGCAATCATTTCTCTTTCTCTCTGTGTGCATTCTTGCACTCATTGAGAAATACAGAGTGAGCTGTGAATGGTCACAGCTTGTCACATGGTACAAGGCTTTTGTGAATAGCCTTGTACCATGTGACCTCTGTGATCATTCACAGATTTCACACATAGTAAGCAATGATGTCACAAGTGACATCTTGCTTACTACTTTGCATGTGATCACTGATTCGCCAATTAGTGATCACATGATCGGGACCTCGTACAGAGGTCCCGTCCGACGATCGGTGTTTCACTGTGTCCAGAGGACACAGCGGGCACCGGATCGCTCCCAGGGAGCGCGCACAAGCAGGGTGCGGGGAGGCCGTTTATAGACGGCCACCCGACCCTGCAGTGCCACCGTCCGGCCGTTTATATACAACGGCCGGTCGGGAAGTGGTTAACACAGATACAAGATAAATACACTCAAGGGAACAATCCCCCCCCTCCCCGCATAATGTCACAGGGTGGGGTAATCTACATTTAGTAACAAGAGACACATCAACACAGCCCCATCAGGAGGGAGGGCTGCTGCAGACACCCCCCACCAAGCCAATACACATACATCCCATAATAGCTTGCTCCAAAGCAAGACTCACAATAGAACAATGGGATGCAACCAAATAACACCAAACAAACAACAACAACCCCCACCTATACATGTCTACACTATATTAGGACAGATCACCCTGTACATCTAACAGGCACAGGGTGACTTACACACAAGAGGGATATGGGGAGCTCAGACAGAGGTCTCCCCACCTCTCCAAAATAAGCTGGGTTCCATGGGCCCCCCCACCCAAAGTATGACCAAAAGATCTTTGCACGTACTTCTCCTTCAATGAAGCTAAGATTTGTACAGTAAATCAACAGTGATCTGAAAGTGAGATCGTCATCCTTAGAGGTTATGCATCTGACTTGTGCTGTGGATCAGCATGCCAGCCAGGCAACTTGCATTTTCAGAGGGACAGGTCAGTAATGTCAGATGTATTTTTCTTATAAAGGTTTCCAATGAAAGCGGCAGCACTGACCGCCCCCCCGGACTGGCGTTTTCAGCATACAGCTGGAGGATGGAGCACCCACCCCTGCCGTTTGTTAGGTACGTGAGTAGAAGACCCCAGATCCCCCTCACCAGCTAGGAACAAGGCCCAGTGATCTGACTGGGGGAGGGTATTACCTGTATCGTGTCTGTGCTAGAGAGGAATTGCTCAGTAGCAGATTTACTATCACATCAAACATGACAATACTTCCTGGAATCTACTTTATTCTCTCTTGGTCACTGCTCTTCGATTGGGAAGCTTTTCTGAGCCTTGCTCCGAACTCTGCACTGCTGTCTGGTTACATTCACCCCCTGTGCTGCCCCTCTCACCATACAGACCTATGTACAGTCTACCGCTAGCATGCAATGGAAGACCATTGAGGACTGTCCCGTCTGTAATCAGTCCATTCATAGATCTATGAAACCGAGAGCTGTTCTCATCACCTCGATTGTTGTCACGTCCCCATTACTCTACAGCAGAGCCGGAAGCGATGAATGAAGTTAGGGGCCTTTCAAGAGACCCCGCGCAGGTTAATGACGTCACCGAGCCTCCAGCGCTGTGCCTGCAACGTGTGTGTATACGTCTGCACAATGCGGGGATGGGAGTTGTGTTGTGTCCTTCGTACTGACCAGGACATGGGAGTCCGCACGGCGGAGGTTTATCATACATTCTACAGCAGCATATTGAGGTCATGTCATGCACAGGCGGTTGGATTGCGTGTCAATAAAAGTCAATCTGAATTGCATAGAAACTTTTAATTTCAAAATAAATTTTCATTCATTTTCTTGTTAAAGAACTCCTGGTGATCCTGCCATCAGCGCCCTGTTCAGGCACTTCCTGTTATAGAGTGACAACAGCTGTCCCTGTGTCTCAACAGCCCTCCCATGTTGTCACCCAGTCGTGTTTCCATTGGAGACTTAGGCCCCTCTCACACAGAGCGAATCCCTCAGCGGGGGTCTGTCTATTGATCCCCCCGCTGAGCAAGCGGATGACAGGTCAGTGTCCACTGCTGCTCATGCAGAGCAAACACAGCCTGCTGTCCTCTATGGGCGATCTAATGTCTGTTTCTTTCCGACTGCTATCCGATCTGACAGACTAAGCCTGGATTCACATATACAGTTGTGTCCAAAATTATTCAAACCCCCACTGAAATTGAGTGTTTTGGCCAGTTTGACATTGCTTTTGATCATCAGTCATCTTGCTTACATTTACATTAAAGAGGCACTTGTAGGTCAGACAAATATAACATATAACAGTTATAATGAAATAACCACAAATGTCTTTTCTGTGCTCACAGCATTATCAGTTTTATTCAACCCCCCAAGTGACATTCAATCTTAGTACTTAGTACAGCATCCTTTTACAGTTATAACAGCTTTTAAACGTGAAGCATAGCTTGACACAAGTGTCTTGCAGCGATCTACGGGTATCTTCGCCCATTCTTCATGGGCAAAGGCCTCCAGTTCAGTCACATTCTTAGGCTTGCGCACTGCAACTGCTTTCTTTAAGTCCCACCAGAGGTTCTCAATCGGATTTAAGTCTGGTGACTGCGATGGCCACTCCAAAATGTTCCAGCCTTTCCTCTGCAACCATGCTCTAGTGGACTTGGAGGTATGCTTGGGATCATTGTCCTGTTGAAAGGTCCAACGTCTCCCAAGCCTCAGGTGTGTGACGGACTGCATCACGTTTCCATCCAATATCTCCTGGTACTGAAAAGAGAATTCATGGTACCTTGCACACGCTGAAGCTTCCCCTGTACCTGCAGAAGCAAAACAGCCCCAAAGCATGATTGACCCTCCACCATGCTTCACAGTAGGCAAGGTGTTCTTTTCATCATAGGCCTTGTTCTTCCTCCTCCAAACATAGCGTTGATCCATGGGCCCAAACAGTTCTAATTTTGTTTCATCAGTCCACAGAACACTATCCCACAACTTTTGTGGTTTGTCCACATGGCTTTTGGCATACTGCAGTCGACTCTTCTTATTCTTTGGAGACAGCAAGGGGGTACGCCTGGGAGTTCTGGCACGGAGGCCTTCATTACGCAGTGTGCGTCTTATTGTCTGGGCTGAAACTTCTGTACCCACATCTGACAAATCTTTTCTCAGTTCCTCAGCAGTCACACGGGGACTTCTCTCTCCACTCTACGCTTCAGGTAGCGCACAGCAGTTGAAGTCAGCATCTTCTTTCTGCCACGACCAGGTAGCGTTTCAACAGTGCCCTTTGCCTTGAATTTGCGAATGATGCTTCCTAAGGTGTCTCTTGGTATGTTTAACATCTTTGCAATCTTCTTATAGCCATTGCCCTTCCTGTGAAGAGAAATCACCTCTTCTCTTGTCTTCCTGGACCATTCTCTTGCCTTCACCATGTTTGTAACCACACCAGTAAATGTCTAGAAGGAGCTGAGTATCACAGTCATTTTAAAGCTGCCTAATTGGTGCTTATTATGCTTGATTGCTGCTCGGTGACATCCACAGGTGTTTTCAATACCTGATGGAAAGCACCTGTATGAACCTCTGTTCTTCAGAGTGGTAGTCTTTAAGGGGTTGAATAATTGTGGCAATGAAGAAACCACATAAGAACCATTTACTACTGTATTACATAAACAATTGATGTCATTTTAGTTGCATTTGGGTAGTTACAACGTCCTTGTAGGATTTGATTCTGAATACAATTCCAAATGTACACTATAGTCCCTAAACCCCTTTACAGCATTGGGGGTTGAATAATTTTTTGGACACAACTGTATGTGGTGAGGTCAATCGCATGTGATTTGCACAGGAACCGCACCGCATTCCTGTGCAAATCACATGCGATTTGTGTGCAGTGCGATTGGAGCCATACATTATGTATGGCTCTGATTGCACACACACCAAAAATGTGCAGGACCCTTTTTTGGTCCACACTAGAATCAGATTGCATGGGTATTCACACCTATGCGATCTAATTCTGCACATCGCACCGCGTTTTGCGGACCGCTTTCAGGGTGTTGTTTACATACACGCCTGCAGCAGTTTGCATGAACGGGTGCGATTCTGATGCGGTGCAGAATTCGCACTGTAAAACGCTGCAAATTCCGCACCGCATCAGTGTGAACCAGGGCTTAAGGTGAACAGATCCCCATCCATCTCTTTGGATCAGATTAAACAAACATGTCCATTTACACCCGCCACTCCATAGAGAATAGAGGTTCTGATCAGGTCCACCTGAAAAACGGAAAGGCCGTTTCCATCTAACTGCCATCCGATCCGATGGACTTGAGGGGAGCGGATACCCATTCCTCTTTTTGGTGGATCGGATTAAACAAATACATGTCCATTTACACCCACCGCTCCATAGAGGAGAATAGAGGTTCCGATCAGGTCCACCTGAAAAACGGGCAGGCCATGTACACCCAACTGCTATCCGATCCGATGGGCTTAAAGGCAATGGATCCCCATCTGTCTTTTTTTGGTGGATCAGATTAAACAAACACATGTCCATTTACACCCACCATGCAATGAACATTTTCACTCCGTATACACTCCTGAAAATGTGAAAACCAACACAAAAAAAAAAATATATATTTATAATAATAAATTAGATATAAATTAAATAAATCAGACGTCGGGAGCCCTCGAGAAGAAGTCTGGAAGTGACAAAACGTTTGACACCAAACCGAAAGTAGCGGCACGGCCATTTTGAGTATTGGAGAGCGCGGATTTTGCCTTACAAACTGCTGAGACTGGTCTGAATGATTAAGTAATCCCTAATGTAAGCATTTTATTAAATGTCTTCATATATACCTTATCCAATTACTATATGGATCTCTTCTTTACCTTCATGAGGAATTCGGGAAGCTGAAAGTTTACTATCTGCATGGTGGATGAAAGCTGATAAGCGAATACTATACATACCCAGAGATGCTTGTTACGCCAAGAGGGTAATTGCCTTTAATCCCACTAGTGTGGTCACGGAGTGTTCACTTCACTGATTGTTGTATTAATTGAATTTTCACTGAGTGGTTTTGTTGATTTATTTATCTAATTTATATTTATAAATATTTTTTGTGTGTTGGTTTTCACATTTTCAGTAATGTACACGGAGTGAAAATTTTCATTGCATGATTCACGTGTCATTCACTTTTTATTTTTCACATATTAATGAATTTAAATATTTGAAGGTAATACACTTTCAGTTTCATTTTTTCGAGGTATTACAGGATCTTGACTGGTGAATTAAGTTGGATACAATTTCTATTTTTGGAAGATTATCAATTTTTTGGACACAGCTTTAATATTTTGAACTTTTTTTAAGACACTCTAATCTTTGGACTTGTGTGGTTATAGTGGTTTATTTTATTTATTTCACTACTTATGGGGTGTTATACATGAGATAGGGGTTTGAGTCTATTCAGAGAAAAGGTTTGATTAATATTTACTTTCAAGGGTAAGACTTTTCTTGGGTTTATTTAGTGAGAGTTTGATTTATTCATTTACACCCACCACTCCATAGAGGAGAATGGAGGTTCCGACTTTAGGGGAACGGATCCCCATCCGTCTCTTATTTTAGCGGATCAGATTGGATGGCGGCAGGTGTAAACAAACACATGTCTGTTTACACCCGCCACTCCATAGAGGAGAATGGAGGTTCCGATCAGGTCCACCTGAAAAATGGACAGGCCGTTTCCATCCAACTGCCATTCGATCTGATGGATTTAAGGGGAACGGATCCCCATCCGTCTCTTATTGTAGCGGATCAGATTGGATATCGGCAGGTGTAAACAAAATACATGTCTGTTTACACCCGCCACTCCATAAAGGAGAATGGAGGTTCCGATCAGGTCCACCTGAAAAACGGGCAGGAGGACCCAATCGGAACGTTTGTGAGAAAAGGGCCAAAGGTCAGGTCACATCTGACTGAATCGGGGGAGAGGGGGCTGATGCTGAACATGTTACACCCTAAATATGGGTGTGACATGCAACATGTTCAGAAAGGTGAACTTAACCTTTAGTGGCACCCCCACGCATCTCAACCCACAGCAGGTATGGGAAAAAAGAAAAATGAGCATACACCTTTTTTCTGTGGGAAATGCAGGAACAGCAGCCCATTCAAATGAATGGACTGCCGTACCTGCACAAACCTATGCTGATCCTTGGTGTAGGAATGTTCCACAGAACCCACAGTTGTACTGTATCACACAGGACTGTCCTGGGATTCACACTTCAGTAATATGTTGCACTTTGTTAACCACTTCAAGTCCAGACACTTTTTTTTTTTTTTTTAAGTCTGGACACTTTTACCCCCTTCCAGTCCAGGCCAATTTTCAGCTTTCAGCGCTAACAAACTTTGAATGACAATTGCGCGGTCATGCAACACTGTACTCATATGATTTTTTTAGCATTTTGTTGAGACAGATAAAACTATTTTGGCGGTATTTATTCACCACTGGGATTTTTTTTTTCTTCTAAAATTTTGCAAATAAACTTTCTTCATAAATCTTGGCCAAAATGTATTCATCTATCTTTTTAGTAAACAAAAAAAATAACCCAAATTAGTTTATAGCCAAAAATTATAATTTTTAAAAAAAAGTTATTTTTATTTTTTTACTTTATTTATGTTTTTGGGTTTGTTTAACATACTGTCACCCTAGCAGTACAGTGTCACCATAGTGACATTGTACTACTTGTGGCGGGTGATGAAGATTTTGTTTTCCTTTTTTTTTTTTACACTGATTGCTTTTACACCCATAAAGGCTGCAATCATTTCTCCTTCTCTCTGGCTGCATTCCTGCAGCAATTAAGAAATACAGTGCGAGCTGTGATTGGTCACAGCTTGTCACATGGTACAAGGCTGTTGTGAGTAGCCTTGTACCATGTGACCTCTGTGATCATTCACAGATTTCACTAGTAGTAAGCAATGATGTCAGGAAGTGAAATCTTGTTTACTACTGTCCATGTGATCACTGATTGGCCAATCAGTGATCACATGAATCGAGACCTCACACAGGAGGTGTCTGGGGGACACAGCGGGCACCGAACGCGGTGCCGCACGCTCCCAGGCAGCACATACAGCTAATGGATGCGGGGGGACGTTTAGAAACGTCCACCCACAATGGCAGCACTCGCTTCTGGCCGTTTATCGACATGGGCCGGATGGGAAGAGGTTAAAGAATACATTATCCCAACAGTTCATATTCCTGATATGTACCTGCTGTATTATGTACTTGTATGTAAAAATCCTGTTCTTTTATATGGCTTCCTTTGTGTGAAATACTTTGTGTTCCTGCCAGTGCCTGTGCTTTCCTGTTTCAAACTGATCACACTAGGCATGGAAGCACATCTATCTCAGTGTGGTCATCTTTCCTCATTGCATTCTACATGGGAGCACATCCTGGCTGTAATCCAATGGTCAGAGTTAAGCCAACACGCCCCCCTTTCTCCGGGAGGATCAGTGTGCTGCTGTTAATCTGCCTTCTGCTGACACTTTCCCCTGCAGCCTGCACCACCACCTTTCTATGCCCCATATGCAGCTGGAAACAGTGGTCATGGGACAGTTCTAATTGTTTAAATATATACCAATATTTTTTTCATGCATTTGTATTTTAACCACTTTTCCTCCGGAAGATTTTACCCCCTTTATGACCAAGACATTTTTTGCTATTCATCACTGTGCTACTTTAACTGGCAATTACATGGTCAAGCAACACTATACGCAAATTAAATTTATATCATAATTTTTACACAAATAGAGCTTACTTTTGGTGGTATTTAATCACCACTGTGGTTAATCAAAAAATTAATAAAAAAAAAATACAAATATTTTCTACTTTCTCTGATAAAACATATCCAAACAAATCAAATTGCTTCATAAATTTAGGCGAACATGTATTCTGCTAGGTCTTTGGTAAAAAAAAAATCCCACATCTAACACTGGGGACACTATGCTAGTAATGGCAGTGATCAGCAACTTATTGTATGGCTTGTTACTGGACAATGAAAGGAAGGGAAAGCGAAGAGAAAGAAGAGTGCGAGAAGATACCATGTCCTGAAACAACTAAACTTCCAACAGGAAGTTTGTATCACTTTAACATTCCTCTTCCCCGTAGCCTCTTTTTTCACTCCACCCCCTCCACCATTTGTCTATGCCAGAATGACCTGTACCTAGTCCTGCAGTCCTCTAGGACAGTGTTTCTCAACCTTTTTTCAGTCAAGGCACCCTTTAACCACATGCCGCCCAGCCACTGTAGAAATAGGGCGGCACGGCTGGGCATTTTAAAACGTGTTTTGAAAACAGGTAGGGGGCGTACGCAAGGCACGCCGCTGCCCTACCTGTCCCGCTGATCATAGCCGCGGATGTCAGTCGCCGGGTCACAGCCGGTCGTTACCGGCTATGTTCCGGCGATCGGCGGCAATCGCTGACAGAGCACAGCTGCAGTAGCTGTGCTATCTGTCAGTTCCCTGACAGCTCCAGGACACGCTGATCGGGACAGAAGAGTTTCTTTGTGTCGATCAGTGGTGTTCCCTGCAGTACACACCCCCTAGTAAAACACTCCCCTCACACAGTTAACCCTTTCCCTGAATAATAAACTTAACCCCTTCCTCCCCAGTGCCATTAGTACAGTGTCAGTGTTTTTTTTTTTTTTGCACTGATCACTGTATTGGTGTCACTGGGGATGTCAGTGACCCCAAGTCAGTACCCCCCAATGTCAGAATGTCCGCCGCAGTCCCGCCATAAGTCGCTGATCGCCGCCATTAATAGTATAAAAAAAAACTAAAAATCCCAGTATCTTTCCCACCATTTGTAAACGCTATAACTTTCACGTAAACAAATTAATTTACACATATTGGGGTTTTTTTTTTCGCAAAGACATGTCGCAGAATGCATTTTGGCAGAAGTTTATGACTAAATTTGATTTATAAATTTTTTTTTACTGGACATGTTTTATAGAAAAAAGTCCAAAATATAGTTTTTTTTCCTCAAAATTGTTAGCTTTTTTTTATAGCGCAAAAAATAAAAACCGCACAGGCAATCAACTACCACCGAAAGAAAGCTCAATTTGTGGGAAAAAAAAAAAGGATGTAAATTTCATTTATGTACCGTATTGCATGACCGCGCAATTGTCCGTTAAACTAGCGCAGCGCTGTATAGCAAAAAAATGGCGTAAATTGCAGTATCTATACCATAGTTTGTAGACGCTATAACTTTCACCCAAAGCAATCAATATACACTTATTCGGATTTGTTTTTACCAAAAACATGTAGCAGAATACATTTTGGCCTAAATTATAACCAACTTTGAGTTTACTATATATTTTTTATAGCTGAAAAAAATAAAAAAATATAATTTTTCTTAAAAATTTTTGGCCTTTTTTTGTTTATAGCGTGAAAAATAAAAAGCACACAGGTGATCAAATACCACCGAAAGAAAGCTCTATTTGTGTGAAAAAGGACGTAAATTTCGTTTGGGTGCAGCATTGCATGATTGCGCAATTATCAGTTGAATTAGTGCAGCGCTGAGTAGCAAAAAGAGGCCTGGTCATTAAGGGGGGAGTAAATCCTCTGGAGGTCAAGTGGTTAAAATTATGGAAAGTCTTGAGGCACCCTATTCTAAAATGTGAAAAACTATTCTAATAGTTTTATATAACACTATCATATCAAGATGGCAACCGGAGCAGCAGCATAGCACACAGCTTCGGTCACCTCCGCACACCCGCCCGCCATCCCCGGGAGTGCAGACGCCAGTGATCTCCCCTACCTCCCTTACCTGGAGGGGAGAGCCACCCTCCTCGCGGTGGACGATCTAGCCCAGTCCTCTATGCGGCACCGGTCCTTCATCGCTCTGGCGTCCCTCCTTGAGCTGCCCACGCACGACGAGCCACGGTCCTCCGCCGCCGAGGTACGCCTGGCCTGAGAAGGAGGAGCAGCTGCCCGAGCCTCCCCACCGGAGCCTCTTTGCAGCGGTGCCCGTCCTGCAGGGCCCAGCCGCTAATACTCAACAGTTACAAGCCACAAGGAACACAAGCCAAAAAGGGAGTGCAGCCATATAAGCCTCCCACCGCCCAGAACTCCGCTGCCTCCCACAACTCAGGCACCTGGCCTGCAGAGCCCGCTGCGGCCCCCGCATCTAGGCCACACACCATCCCAGCAGGGCCCAAAGCCACATAGACCACCAGGCCAACCACACCGCTCAGCCCCCACCTCACAACCCTACCACCCAGGTTGTTGACGACAGGGGGAGGGCACCGGTCTCCCCGACCCTACCACGAAGGCACAAGGGACCCGCACCACCTAGGCCGAGGCCTACCTCACTACCACGAGGCAACCCTGCCTGGACCTGCTGAGCCCAACGGATGACCTCGACCTGGTGAGGCCTACCATCGCCTACCACGACGCAACCCTGCCCAGACCTAAAGCCCATCCGACGACCCCCGTGAGTACAGTGCGGGAGAAGGCCCGACTGTTGATTCTGCGATCCCTAGCCCCTACTACGCCCATCTCCCACAGCTGATGCCCACCCTTCACAACCTTTTCTACACCTCATCTCCACCACCTGGGAAACACTTCTGCTGTTGACGTCCACCCTTCATCTCCTCAAGCCAAACCTCACCCCTCAATCTAGGACTTACACAAACTGGAACTTGCAGCTTGACTACCCTCGGCCACAACCTATCGACCTGAACTCTACCCATCCTGATCCTAAGCACGAGAACTCGAGCAACGAGATACGCCACTGCATGCTAGACTATCTGCAATCAAGCACCCTGAGAAACGCAAGCCAGAGTACTAGGTGTCATCCTAGACTCCAATGTCTTTCCAGCCCCAATCACTGACAAACTCATGTAGACTCCACCTCCACAACATCTCCAAAATACGTCCGTTCCTAATCCCGGAAAAACTACTAAGCAACTCATTCACTCCCTTATATCACGACTTGACTACTGTAACTCCCTCCTCACCGGCTTACCTTACCATAGGCTATCCCCGCTTCATTCTATCCTGAATACTGCGGCCAGACTCATCCACCTTACTAACCGCTCCGTATCAGCCACCCCCCTCTGCCAATCCCTCCACTGGCTTCCGATTGCCCAACGGATAAAATTCAAAATGCTAACATTGACGTACAAAGCTACTCATAACACTGCCCCAAACTAAATTACTGACCTGATATCCAAATACCACCCAAAATGTATTCTCTGCTCCTCGCAAGATCTCCTACTCTCTAGTTCCCTGGTCTCCTCCTCCCATGCCCGTCTACAGGACTTCTCCAGGTCCTCCCCCATCCTCTGGAACTCCCTACCCCAATCCATCAGACTATCACCTACCCTCCTCTCCTTTAGGCTCACCCTGAAAACCCATCTCTTCAGGGAAGCCTACCCCGCCCTCAGCTAATTGCCAAGCTCCTCCACTCTTCCTACCACTCCATCCCCCACAGCTTTTTCCTCCTGTACCACTATCCCCTCCCTCCTAGATTGTAAGCTCCAAGGAGCAGGGCCCTCGAACCCCTCGTATATCGAATTGTATTGTTACTGTACTGTCTCCCATTGTAATGTACAGCGCTGAGCAAACTGTTGGCGCTATATAAATACTGTCGAATAACATGGTAACATCCACACATGTAGGACACCCAACATTAGAGGTGATTTATTCTTCCAAAGCAAATACACTTTTGCACACTGGTACTGACTAGTATTCCAAGGTTTCTCTTCTCCCCCAGTTTTTCTCTATGACTGTCCTCAGCACTGATGGAAAGGGGCAGGGGAGAGTCAAACTAGGATGCTATGCAGGCAGCGGACATCCTCTTTATCAACTGATGTCATTGATTGTCAGGATGCCGGCGGTTAGAAGGCTGTAATGGTGCACAATGAGAACCTGTGGCTGTGTAACTAAAAAGTCAGGTTTCTTCCACCCGCTGATGTGTATACTAGTTTTGGGCAATTTTTAGACATTTTGCCAGGGCACCCTGTTTGAGAAAGGCTGTTCTAGGATACCTGCATCACATCTTCGAGGAGGCTGTAGGATCAGCAAGCACAGCAACCAGGAGTTAGGGGTAGCTGGTGCATCATCAATGTTGGCTGCCTACACTTGGAAGAAGCAGCCAGCTGAAGAGGATCAAGATGGTGACATGGGACCCACTGTGTGGCTGGACCTGCTGTGGTGTCACTGTAAAAATATCCAGTTCAAACCACAGTTTATCATAAATCTACCATAAAACTCTTACATGGTGCAGCACAGTGTGCTAGTTGTAGAATGGACCCAGGCTGAGGCAGATGGGCTATGCCGAATCTACTGGAGTAGCAGATAGAGCCAGTGACAGAAGACCGCCGACTGAGGTGGAAGATACTCACATCACCAGAAATTACATCCTCCATATCCTCCGCTGGGGCCAGAGGTCTCCCTTGGCTGGCTCTTACAGCTACTCCAGTAGAATGGACATATACCATTTGCCTCATCCTGGGTCCATTCAACAGCAACTAGCACACTGCGCTGCACCATGTAAGACTTTTATGGTACATTTAATAAATCTTGGTTTGCACTGGATATTTCTGTCTCGTGGATTAGAGGCTCCGGACTGATATTTACCAGTGGTAAAGCCTACATCATACAGCTAGTTCCACATAATACTTCCATGGGAACTACCTGGAGCACCTAGTTAGCACATCTATGATTACATATTTATTACACCCACAATTTAAGATAAGGGAATAAAAGATATAAATAAAGATATGAATAACAGTGTTTCAACGAGGACATTCTACCATTCAGATTCTAAATGTCGGTTCAGTATAACGGTTATTCATACCTTTTATTCCCTTATCTTAAATTGTGGGTGTAATTAAATATGTAATCATAGATGTGCCAACTAGGTTTTCCAGGTAGTTCCCATGGAAGTATTATGTGGAACTAGCTGTATGATGTAGGCTTTACCACTGGTAAATATCAATCCAGAGCCTCTAAATCCACGAGACAGAAATATCCAGTTCAAACCATGATTTATTAAATGTACCATAAAAGTCTTACATGGTGCAGCACAGTGTGCTAGTTGCTGTTGAATGGACCCAGGCTGAGGCAATTGGTATATGTCCATTCTACTGGAGTAGCCGTAAGAGCCAGCCAAGGGAGACCTCTGGCCCCAGCGGAGGATGTAATTTCTGGTGATGTATTTTCCACTTCAGTCGGCGGTCTCCTGTCACTGGCTCTATCTGCTACTCCAGAAGATTTGGCATAGCCTGTCTCAGTCTGGGTCCAGTCTACAACTAGCACACTGCGCTGAACCATGTAAGACTTTTATGGTACATTTAATAAATCATGGTTTGAACTGGATATTTCTGTCTCGTGGATTTAGAGGCTCTGGACTGATATTTACCAGTGGTAAAGCCTACATCATACAGCTAGTTCCACATAATACTTCCATGAGAACTACCTGGAGCACCTAGTTAGCACATCTATGATAACATATTTAATTACACCCACAATTTAAGATAAGGGGATAAAAGATATAATAAAGATATGAATAACAGTTATACTGAACCGATATTTAGAATCTGAATGGTAGAATGTCCTCGTTGAAACACTAAGTAGCATTTTAAAAGTGAAAAGGGCTGGGGACCCCCTCCTCATCTTCAGCATTGGATGCCTAAGTGGTGGGGGAGTGAAGGGAAGAATACATGCTGCTGAGAAGGCATAAGTGCATGTATAGTCAAGTTTTTCTTCCACTAGAAAATAAGAAAAAGGAGGCACACAAGCCTTTTGCATTACCTCAAAAAAAAAACCAAAAAACAAAAAAAAAACAATCGTAAAAAATAGTAGATGTTTACGCAAAACGACAAACGTAAACAGGCCTATCATGACCAACAATGGTCCATGGTCTGAAAAGGTGCACGAGTCCCACATATGAAAAGGACACTTGTCTAACATGTTTTGAGGAGCAATCTCTTCATTACAGCCTACCAACAACTTTTATGAAGAGATCGCTCCTTGAAAACGATTCAGCCATTTCCATCAAAGTTGGTAGGCTCTGATGAAGAGATCGCCCCTCAAAACGCATCAGTCAAGTATCCTTTTAATATATGGGACTCGTGCACATTTTCAGACCATGGACCATTGTTGGTCATGATATGCCTGTTTACATTTGTAGTTTGAGTATACATCTCTTCTTTTTACGATTAAAGTTTTTATGAGGTAATGCGCAAAGCTTGTGCCCCCCCCTTTCCTTTTCTTATTTTCTAGTGCCTTATTGGGCTACCCCAGCCCTTAGGGGGCTGCACAGTATCGCCATATTGGTTCAAATTCTAAGGTCTATGAAGAGGTTTCCCACATATGCCATATCGGGTCCTTTGAGCACAGGAGATTTTTCATTCTTTTCTTCTTAAGTTTTAATTGCTACTGGAAAAAAAAAACATTAACAGGGGCTCTCATTCTTCTCTACTCTATCCAAATCTTTGAGTATACATATACTTTATGTGAACCTATTTTCCTTTGCCTAGGCAAAACACAAGTTCCTTATAAAAACTTTGTGATGTGTGAATTATATGAATGCATTTATGTAAAAGATGCAATACAACTTGATTGATCCACAGGGATCGCTGAACACTTGCAGGCACTCCTACACCATCAACAGCATTTTAGGCCAAGCCTGATCAGTAAAGAACACACACACACCCAGTAAAACTAATGAGCTGTTCCACTGGAATTTGTCTGCTTACCATCAATGAATTGTTCTTGAGAATATTATGTGCACAATAAATACATCATACACAAATAATTTTATAGTTTTATTTCTTATTTTATCAAAACATTTCCAATTAAATGAGCTATGGCTCCATTGCCCCCCAAAAGAAGAGTTTCATAGAAAATCTTTATCACGTGACATTAACTTTCCTCCAATTTTACACATTATCAGACTGAAAGGGGGGAGGGATGCAGACGGACGTCGTCTCCCCAGTCAGACCTAGATTTAAGGATCACATTACTGGGTTGTATCGTGTCAGATACAAGTTGAGGAAAGAAGGAAGTGCTTTTGGGGTTGCTGTCCAGATTAATTCTAATATCTAGAGAATCCATTTTCAGCTAAAAATCAATCACACATACATGGCTGCAGCCCTGAGTTTGTCATCTAAGTTTGTTAGACCTCTTGGAAGTTGGGTCATCCATTTCTCTCATATGTTATTGAGAGATGTGGAACTGGATGACTGATGGGGGAAGGGGGGTGGGTACGGTGGACAGGCATGTTTGAAGGGGGCCAAGAACAGATTGCATTCATTATTCTGAAAAGAGGTAGTCCCAAGTCTCACACATAATTGGGACAGGTACAGTGCATTAAACCATCTATGTACACATAAGTGCAGTTGGGCAATACCCAGGAAAAAAAAAAAAAAAATAATAGAAGACAGACACTCACACAGACACACACTCTCGGCACATTCTACACATCCTCTGGTCTCTAGTCTCACATTTGGTCCATGAATGATGTCCACCCACCAATCCCCTTATTCCTTGGGAGAAAATGTCTTTGCCTCCCCCCTCCCCTTCAAGATTTTAATATTAGTGATGTTATCGCAGGGACATTGTGAAGTCTGATGAAATATTCACTCCAGGTTTTCGTACAGTGATTACAGAGGTCTGTGAATCATACTCAAACTCCAGCTGTGTTACGGTTCCATCTGCAGAAAAGAAGTCAAACAGATTGTTAATGCAAGCTCAACCAAGACCATGTTTTTGAAGTCATCTACAAAGCCAGTTGCCAATCTTATCACATTTTCTTACCAATTCAGTTAAAGGCTTTATTGAAAGGAATTTTTGATACATGTATCAAAACACCACACAGGCTTTCCTCCAAAACATATATCAGTACCTTCTAGCTGCCAACTATGAGGAGTCTCAGTCTAGAGCAGAAAAAAAAGCCATTCCAAGTGGCATAAGAACAATTCATACAATAAAATACTGGTTTAAAAAGGAAATAGACTTGTGTGAAAGAGACCCTCAACTACTGGACGAGGCAGATTAGCTTTGCTCAGCAGGGATCGGTCCGCTGATCTCTTCTTGAGCTGGTGGATAGTGTGGGTTGATGCGTCCGTGTCAGCTCAGTTTTTGCAGAGCAGACATGGACAGGCCTACTCTGCAGGCAGTTGGATGCAAATGGACTGTCTACTTACATCTGATTGCCATCTGATCTCATCCACTTAGATGGAGGGGGAACAGATTCCCTTCATTTTTTTTTTTCTTAGCGGACCGAAGTGGAGGTAGGTGGGTGTAAATGGACACAAATGATACATGGACCATCCGATCAAATCCGCCTGAAAAACTGATAAGCGGACTTGATAGGCTTGCCCATGTGAAAGGGGCCTAAACGTTTGCAGAAACAGAATTCCATACCACATAACTTTTGGAACTGAACATCTGGTGCAAAAATTACATAATAGCATTAACTCATGTGGTCTTATGACCTATTCTAATGCATAAACATTTTAGAATCAGTGCATAGTGAATGTTACCACAAAGCCAATGCAACAATCTGAAACTGATCTTTCTAGAACAGATAACTACACACTACTACATAGTTTAAATTTACATCTACTTCATAAAAACTGGAGAGTCAAGTCTTCATGGAAAAGTAACCAGATTCCTGCTTTTATGTATACTAGCACCCTATTTTCATAGAGTGAATATGGATTTCCCAAAATTATTTCCTATTTTGTGAATATAAAATAGAGAGTGCAGCAATGTGTGTTATATGGTGTGCTTGGACACTGGTGACAGCCAGTGCAGAAAGTGAGTGTTGGTTTGGCAGTGCTTGAAGTGTGAATCAGTGCAGTAGCGGTGAAATGTGTGTGTTTAGGTGCATCATTTATTTATATGCTGATCCCACAGCGTTGGTTTTTGGGAGATGGCACTGCCCCAGTGCTGGAACTATACAGGCAGGTTTGGGTGAATCACTTAACCTCACATTGACTGTGCAAACATGCACGGTTATTGGCTGCAATGATGATAGGAAAAAGGTCTCCAGTGCATGTCCAAACGGTATAGCCATGCGACTCTGGGCTGCTCAGCACTCAATAGCCACAACTACCACTGGCACTCTGCAATGATCTTGTATTGAATCTGACTGGCTGCTTTACAACAGGCTCTCATTCCCCAAAGTTTACCTATGTATATGAATTTGCAGGATAGAGAGGCATATCAAAAACCCGCAAGGATTTTTAAAATTAACTGCTGTCCCATAGGAAAACATATGTAAATGCATCAGTGTATAAAACGTTAATAAAACATATTGGAACAAGAAAAGTTCTATAACTCCTGGGGTTCGGAGTTGGACTGATGAGCCTACCCCTGAGGAAGTCAATCCTGCCCCTATTATTCTCAGATCAAATTAAACCATTCAGCTCTTAGTAATGCAGAATGAAAAATTCTTAAACTAGAAAAAATTCAGCCAATTGCTCCTAGCAGTGCTGTTTCAAGTCCTGGATTCTTTAACCCTTTCACAACCACCTAACATGTATATGTGGCATCCGGCAAGTGGGCTTAAAATTTGGGTGCTGCATATATGTGTCCCTGTGTTTGTGCTGAAAGCGTGCGCCAGGTCTCTGCTACAGATTGGGATGTATGTAGGGAGCAGATCCTGATCACCTGATCGCTGTGATAGCCTCTGATTGGCCATCACAGTGATCAATCTGCAGCCTGCTTCTGTGCTGCATTTAAAGAGGGTAAACACCACCCTTTTCCCTCTAGCCAGGAGAAGATACATTGTATTTTTTCCTCCTGGCTGGGGGGGGGGGGGGGGGGGGGGGGGGGTGTCTACTTATTTATTTTTTTTTGCAAATTAAAGATCAGCTAGTTCAGGCCTTGATATAGTAGCAGTAAGGTCTCGTTCACACCGTATGTGCATACAAACCGGAGGAAACTGATGCGCGAGATTTCACTTGCAGGAGGCATTAGTTTTCATGAGCACTTCAATGCGTTTTATACGCGTTGCAGATTCCTGGGCAGAAAAACTCTGCAAATGATACTAGTGTTGTGGTACGAATGGGGCACATGGGGAATAGATTTCCTTGTGCCCTTGCAGAACCCACGCAGAAAAAAAAACTGACATCTTTGCACCATGGTATGAACGAGCCCATTAGTGTCAGTGTCGATGACAGCGGCAGTTAGTATCGGTCAGTTAGTGTAAGTGTTGGTGTGTTAGTGGCAGTGGTAATGTGGCAGTCAGTGGTAGTGTGTGTCAGTCATTGTCAGTGTGCCAGTGTCCGTGTTTATTAGGCAAGAAAAAAAAAAATTATAGGAGTACCTCTATGTCACAGTGTCTCCCCTCCCCCCTTATGCAACTCCCGTGGTGGATGGACACAGCAGGATTTAGTCAACAGGTTCATGATTAATGGATAACACCTGCTGATCGGCTGTGTCCACCCAGCCAAATCAGGCTGTATTTGCTTTACTACATATATAGTCTGATTTTACTTTTGTGGGGTTAGTAACACTTTGAACCACAACTGCTTAAAAAGTGTTGGCTGGGAATCAGCTTCAATCTGTTAGTCAAGTTTACCTAAAATGACATTCAACACTAGCCACTCCGCAAACAGACAATGTTGCTGCCCAAGTGTGGCTTTGTTGCTGCTAGAAGTCCCTTTCATGCAAAATTGTTTGGGGAATGTATACCTTCTCAGGGTTCTGCCAAATCACCAAAACAGGACTGCCTTAACTAAAAAATGCACAGGAAATGGAATGGGAGGTTTTTGTATAATGCTAGTGACTCTGGAACGCTCAGGTGCTGGTGGCTCAAGTTTTAGACATTTATGCACTTCCTTCACCAACACGGATGATGGGTTTCAATTTTGACAATGCAATAGTGGACAGATCTTTCTCAACTGAATAGTCCTCAGAACCAGAGGAAGAACCCGTACCCCTCTCCACATCTTCCCCATTCCCCAGAAAGAAACCAATTCCAGAAAAGACTCTGCCGGGAGATGCTTGCAACTTCTGTATTAGGAAGGATCGATCTTGCAAAAGGAAAACATGCAATTTATATTGCTCCTTAAGAAAGAAGTGAGACACCTCAGGGGTAACTGCATAAGAGTTAGTGAAGTAAATGACTGAAGGTCTGATGGGGAAGAAGTGGCTCAACCAAGGTCCCTAGTGGACAGTAAAACAGTGGAATAGCAAGACAGCCTATGCACATGCTCAGTATCCAGCACAAAAGCACGCAACCTAACATGGCTGCCAGTCATAAAGGAACAAGTCTTGCTGGTGATTGCACCCACTGTTGCTGTAACAATGGTCACCCAGGTAAAGGCAGACCTTAATGCAGCCCCTGGACCTCTTCAAAATGGCCTGCTCCCTAATTCACTGTCACCATCCATCAAGGAGGACCAAACGCTCCACCCATTTTGGACAGGCATAGGCATTATACCCCTCTACTCGAGGAAAGAAGGGTCTTCAAAAGGACAAGGCTTATGCAGCAGAGAGACCACAGGCTTGGACATGTTCAGCACCTCTGGGTAACTGAACCGGATGCTGACACTGCTGTAGTGGCCAGATGCAATGAGAAAAAACGTAATAGCAGATCCCTGAAGAAATCCCCAATTACCAGTAGCCCCTCCAATGAGGTCTATCAACTAAGAACACATTTAACCACTTGCTTCCCAAGCCTATTCTGACATTTCTCTCCTGCATATAAAAAAAAAATCCTAATTTTCTTGCTAGAAAATTACTAAGAACCCCTAAACTATATATATATATATATATATATATATATATATATATATATATATATATATATATATATTTTTTTTTTAAGCTGAGCTCCTAGAAAATAAAATGGAGTGTGTTGCAATTTATGTTACACGGTATTGGCACAGAGCTTTTTCAAATACAATCGTTTTGGTAAAAATACACTTTAACCACTTCCCGTCCACCCACTGTACAAAGATGGTGAACGGGAAGCGGTGCCGATGCAGGCCAATGTTCCTGTACGTCAGCCTGCACTGATGGCTCGTGCACGGCTGAGTGCGCACCCTGGAGCCCGGTGATCAGTGTGTCGCCCGGACACAGCAGATCACACTACCGCTGTGTTTTGGCAATCACGTGGTATTTTACCATGTGACTGCTGTGACCAAACAAAGCACCCTCATAGTAAACACAGGTAACATGTCAACATCGTTCAGTGTGAGAGCAGAGAGAAGCGATCCTGCAGTGTGTGAGTGTACAGCACCTTGTCAGGCTGCTTGTGCACTCACACTGCAGTGCAAGCCACCCCAGTTTCCCTGATCACTGCCCCACAATAACAATAAATAATGCAGGGAGGCCCTGTCACCTGTCCCAGGGAGCACAAAAAACACCCCCATACACCATACCAGCGCCCTGATCAACGTCATACCCCATATCCCAGAGCCCTGATGACCGCCATACCCCATATCCCAGAGTCCTGATGACCGCCATACCCCATATCCCAGTGTCCTGATCACCATCATACCTGATACCAGCATACTGATCACATCATACCCCATACCAGCATCCTGATCACCCCCATAACAGAGTGCTGGCTACTGCCATACCAGCGTCCTGATCACCACCATACCCCATACCAGCGTCCTGATCACTGTCATATGCCACAGCAGGTTCGGGCATTTTAAGATCTCAACTGATTTTCAAATATATATATCCCATAGTTTGTAGACACACAAACTAAACGATATAAACGTTTTTGGTGTTATTTTTTCATTTATATAGCAAAGCAATAAATAAACCAAGTGGTGGTAAAATACCACAAAAAGAAAGCTGTCAAGGGAAAAAAAAAAAAAAAAAAAAAAAAAAGGATAACCATTTCACATGGGCACAGTGTTGCACAACTGAGTGATTGTCAAAGTGTGATAGTGCTGAAAGCTGAAAATTGGCCTGCACGGGGTTAAAAGTGTCTGGACTTGAAGTGGTTAATGAAAAAACACACTTTTTTTATTAAATATAAAAAGTTGATGTTATGCCAAGTATATAGATACCCAACATATTACACACGCCATAGAGGATTTGTCAATGTCGTTTTGATATCTTTATATTGATTGTACTACAATGATCTGGCTACTTGCCACCTGCTGTTCAGTTGTTTAAATAAAGAATTTGGGGAAAAAAAAAATAAAAATTGCGCACGCTCATGCAATTTTTAAGCTTTGCGTGTCTAATTACCTGGAGGGGCAGCATACAACCCTTCCGTTATGAACAAGACCACCGGTGGACTGACCATTTGGAAACTCTGGCACTGCCCGAGGTAAGTAGGGGGCCCCCATGAGATGCCCTTGGTACTTTTTTCATAGGCTTTTTTGAGTTTGGGCAAGGACACAGGGGCCCCATGATCCCCTATTGCCGGGGGCCCCATGAGTTGTCAGTCCCACCCCCCTGAACAAGACTTGTGTCTTGTACTGTACAGTTACGAAAATTATTTCATGGCAAGTACAAAAATCCACTTTCCTCAGTGTGTGCACACATTTTGTCTTCTGGGAGGTAGCCGATTAGAATTTATCTACAATATTTACCAGAGTCGAATACGGAGCAGCAGGAAAATACTTCCTTGCTGGGTGCTGCTTACCTGACAGACGAAGGCTGATGGTGTTGGGCTTTGCTGCTCCAATGATTACAACTCTCTCTAGCCAGGCAGGAGTCTCAAACTTTCCATTAAGATCCAATGAGCTGGTAAAAGACATGTTATTTTTTTCTTCTATCAATATCAAGAAACTAAAGGAAATCAAATTTCTGTTTTACTTAAAGTTCACTCTCACACTTTTCTCCTTGTAAATCATTCTGGGCCTCAATTAATAAAACGGCGAAAAGAACGTACACTGCCCATATACCACCTGACATTTTTTCCCAGAAATACTGCAACAATATCTAGCAGACAATAGCATCTCCCCATTTAGTTGATGTTACAATCATGTAACAATCAGTAAATATTCTATATTTCTCATGGTAGATAGAGAACCTGGACAGTTTGCTCTGTCATATAAGAGGTTCCAATCCAAGGTAATAGGCTGCCAGTATGAAAATCCTAAACACTGAGTTTCAGAGTTCAGCGTACCTATTGCAGCATCATATACAGTGACATGCATACCTCAAAACTAGCAGTGACTCTGGAATCCAGATAACAGCATACCTGAGCTTTTAACAGACAACTGCCCTGATAAGTTCCCATCATATAACTCAGCAAAAACTCTGAATTATAATGCTGTTGTATCACATGCAGTTATATGATTGAAATCGCTAGAAATGTTACAGTACAATCTACTTGTATGTAGGGATCCAATGGACACCCAAAAAAAGGTAAGCAGATGGCAAGTGAGTGTAAAAACCCCATAAGAGGTAGATTGGGTTTGGCAGAATATATTAGCCATCTTTAAAATGCCCAAGAAAAAAATACTCCAAAAAGCACTACTACTTAAATTCATTCCATCCTTGTTCCAGATATCACTGGGAAGTCATATTTTCTTACCTTGAAGTTAGCTGTCCACGGCTGTAACTAAATTCTCGATATAAAAAACTCATTTTGCTGGTAATTAAAGCTGTAGCCGTCATCCACAAACAATTCACCTTGTGCTTCACCCTAAAATAGACATTGATAACTGAAGTAGACAGACTTAAGCGAGAATATAAAAAGGTAAATAAAAAAAGGGGTTTGTTCAACACCACGTATGCCTTAAAGTGTATGTCGTTTTGGATTAAGGCTTTGCTGTCTGTCACACTAGGCAGATATCACTCTATTTGTCCTGGTTGCTACTGTTACTAAAATAGAAAGTGATGGGAAATCCAAAAGGTTACAATTTTGACGGAGCACAAGAGTGCTAGTTCAGTATAGATCAACCAAAACTGAAGGAACAGTCTGCTAAAGTAATATGAGCACTTTTTATATCAACGTATAGATATGCAGTGCAAAGTTTCCAATACCTTCAAAAAAAAAAAAAAAAAAAAAAAGTCTCTGCAGTCAATTTCTTCCTTTCTTTTGGGGAAAATATACTGCATATGTACTTAGTTGAGCCATGAATTAGACAACTGTTCAAATGCAGTGGTGAGAGGAGTTTGAGGACAGTCAGAGGTCTTACTATCCTGATCGCTGGTGGATATTATGTCCATCTATAGTTACCCTAGACGCAAAAAAAAAAAAAAAAACCCACCCACAACAACAGGAATGCTTCCAATACTAACCTGCAAGTCCACTGCCACATATAAAGTAAAGGGATCAACCTCCATACAGTCTGAGCTTCTTCTGGGGCGGTCCTTCCGTGGAATTATAGATCCACCCCGCTGATAGACTGGTATCTGAAAATAGAATGCAACCATAACAAAAAAACAAAAAGATTTTTGGAAATACAGATTACAAAGCAGGTAGAGAAAAACAGATCAGACAGCAAAGCAAAAAAAAAAACTGATAACATGGTATACATTACAGTATGTGAGCCATTTGCTCATACTCACTGAGCTGCTGGTAACTGGCAGGTAAAACTTCTGTGGTGCCTTATAGCTCTGATAGCTTCGTACATCATACCAGACCTACAGAAAAAAATAAATATAAAAATAGGGGCGGTTAGAAAAAAACGGTATGCCAAGATTAAATCACTGAAGCGTTATTAAAAGGTGGCAGCAAAATACAACAGTGTTGTTACCTCTCCAGCCCCTGGCAGATATATTTGAACTTCACGAGCATTGGCTTCCGTTACAGGGTGGACCAAGAGTGCAGAGCCTATATAGTGGAATAACCAATAAATTAACCCAACCGCTGCTACCAGTCCAGTCCTCCACACCTTAACTATAGCATGCGGTGAAAATAAAAAAAAAAAAAAAAAAACACAACAAAAAAAACGGATAATATAATACAACATATACACAAAAAGTTAACAGATGCTCCACAGATATTTCCACCTAACTCAATGAAAACAAAATTAGGCAGTAGGAGGAAGAAAAAAAAAAAAAAAAAAAAAAAAAAAAAAAGGAAACAAAAAAACTTTACACTTAGATTACTTACCAAGCATGTACTGATCATCCATTGCAAAAGTAGACACATCAGTAGGAAATTCAACCCAGAGAGGTCTGAAATAAACAACATATAGTACTATAGAATACCATACGAATAGCGCTTCTTTAAATTTTGCACTGGGACCCAAGCTCACCTCATGACAGGCTCTGCATCACGATGGGCATTGTAGAATAATGTATACCAGTAGGGAAGAAGAGCATATCTTTCACGAAGAGCTTCACGTATCAGGTTTGTATTGATCTCTCCATGCAACCAGGGCTCCCGACGAGGTGTATCCAAATGAGCGTGAGCACGAAAGAAAGGCTGATAAGCACCAGCTTGATACCAGCGAAGCAGCAGCTCAGGCTCTGGGTTTTTAAAAAAGCCACCAACATCAGCTGTGATGTGAAAAAGTATAGCAGTTTGTTAGACAGCTGCTTGAATAATTGAAGCAATACAAAATGGCACAGGATCTTTAGTTATTAACACAAACCTCCACAGAATGAAATGCCAGCAAGTCCCAAACTTAGACACATGGGGATGGAGATCTTCAAATGTTCCCACTCAGCACTATTATCACCTGTCCATACAGCACCTGATAAACAAAAAACAGTCAGTCACACTACATAAAAAAACCAGTAGGATACATCCAGATCCTTGGTTTCTATATAAATCTTCTCTAGTCTTACCATAACGTTGAGAACCTGCAAAGAATGCTCGAGTTAAGACAAAAGGTCTTTCCTTTCCTCCAGAACGATGGATTAAACCCTCAGCAGTGGCTTGGTGCTGTAATGCAAGAAGTGAATTGCAAATAAACCTGTGATGCAACAGTAACAACTGTACCATTTATACTACATCATGAGTAGCAGATGAAAGTGTATAACTTGCATGAGAAGGTTAGTAGCAATTTTTAACTAGTATTTGATCAACCTGAGCCATTTTAGGATTCATTGATTTATACACAGAAATTTCATTACATCTGGCATGAGGAAAATAAGGAGGCTACCAGTAAATACTTTATGAAAATGCTAGATGCGCGACTTACAATGGGCCAATGGTTTCAGTTTGCATCCCTAAGCAAGCACATGAATTAAAGTCCAAGAAAGTCAGAGAATCTGCAGACATATTTCAGGTCAACAACTTAAAAAGTTTTATAAAACAAGAGGGTCAAACATGACAGTCAAGTAGTATTTTCAAGAGACGTCATACAGTATATAACTGGTTTCCCTCATGACAGATTTCTTTCCCAGAAGCACATCCTATCACAGCATTTAAAAATAATAAATAGCAACCTCACTTGATAAACATGTCCTAGTGAAGTGCACTGCTATTTATTGTAAATGGCACCCAACACACAGCCACTGTGCAGTGACTGGGGGGGGAAAGTGTCAGGTTCGTTCTGTGGGCCTTTGTTTTGCATTGACACTTCACAGTGGTCATGTGATTACAGTTGTCTTACTGTAATTAGCCGTCACAGTGGTCACGTGCTTACAGTTGTCTTACTGTAATTAAACATCACAATGGTCACATGATCAGAAGCACATCACCAGTTCTCAATTATAAGCAGAGACCAGGGAGGTGTGTGAGACAGCCATGTCACTGTGCTGGGAGTGTGATCAGAGCACAGAAACCAGAGTTCCCATATGTACGGCATATGGGTGGTAAAGGCCTACCCTCTCTGCCACCACACATGTGCATTACATGGTCAGCAAGAAAAAAAAAAAAAAAAAAAATATCTGCAGTCCATGCTGTCAGCTGACTGACAATTTACCACCCAGCTCAGGAGTACAGTGTGTATCTCATTAGGAAAATGAACATTCCGAGGTACAAAGTAACAAGGGTTCAATAGAAAACAACTAATCCACTGGAATATAGTGGCAGGGTTAGTGTATGGGGCATGGATTAGATGTTGGTTCACACTTACAGGTGCAACCAAACACGTGTGTTCCCACGCATTTTTCATTTATTCCAACGCATGACGTAAATAAATCCAGTATTTACACAAGAGAAACATGGAAAGAGAGAGAGGGGGGAAAAAAAAAAAAAAAAAAAAAAAAAAAAAGCACTTGGGGGCCAAGAGTATGTACGCATCATACATACTAGGGGGAATACAATTGGGGGAATCAATGGTGAAGAAGGATCTGGGAGTTCTGGTAGATCACAAGCTTAATAATGGCATGCAATGCCAAGCTGCGGTTTCTAAAGCGAGCAAAATCCTCTCTTGTATTAAAAGAGGTATAGACTCCGGAGAGGGAGATATCCTATTACCCCGGTACAAATCATTAGTAAGACCTCATCTGGAATATGCAGTTCAGTTTTGGGCACCAATTCACAAAAAGAACATTGTGGGACTTGAGAAAGTACAGAGAAGAAAACCAAACTGGTACGAGGTCATGGAGGAGCTCAGCTATGAGGAAAGATTAGAGGAACTGAATTTATTCTCTTGAGATGAGGAGATTAAGGGGAGATATGATCACCATGTATAAATACATCAGTGGTTCATATAGTGAACTCGGTGTAGAGCTATTCACCCTGAGGTCATCAGAGAGGACAAGGGGACACTCTTTACGTCTGGAGGAAAAGAAATGTAATCTCCAAAACATGGAAAGGTTTCTTCACAGTGAAAGCTGTGAAAATGTGGAATAGACTCCCTCAACAACTGGTTCTGGCCACCTCAATGGATTGTTTTAAAAAAGGGCCTGGATTCTTTCCTAGATACACAGAATATAACTGCGGTTTCTCAATGTGCTTTTTTTTCCCTCCTATCAATCATTCATCGAGCAGAAATTTAGCATCTGGACAAAAATTATCAGTTTTCAAGTTTTATACTCACCACATAGAGTCCATATATATTATGTACATCTCGGTGCTCCCAGCTACCCCAATGTACAGCGTCTTTGTGCATTGTCACTTCTGGACCATTAAACACGGATGGCTCATTCATATCATTCCAAACAAACAAATTATCCATAGACCCCTGGTGTCAAAAAAGCAAGAAGCAATGTATAAATATGAAAAAAGGTTGCAGCATCAGAACAGACTAAAGTGCAGGTAATTTACCTCATACTGGTCATACGAGAACATGCTGGACCACCAGGCCCTCATATCTGGATTAGTGAAGTCTGGATAGGCAGCAGATCCTGAAAAAAAGAAAAACAACAACATGTCCTGGTAAACACCTTATCAAATCTTATGTTGGGCTGCTCGCTTTTAGAACCTCAGCAAATACACTTTCACTTATATACCTATTCTTTGCAGAAAAGGTTTTCATTCTGCAATTTTTTACATTTTCGCAGAAAAAAAAAAAAAAAATTAATTACTTGGCCAAGGATTTGTTTGAACTAAAGGAGAAGCGCATTTTCAATGCACATCTCCACCCTCTGGGTCAAAGCATTTTTTTTCTTAGCACAGTCAATGCAACAGCAAAGGATAGCTAAGACTTTAAAGTGTTACTAAACCCACAACACAAAAAAAAAAAAGTCTGCATATGCAGTAAAACATGCTCGCTATGCTCACTATGGAACCTAAGGGGTTAATCCTCATTGTGTAAAAAGGATGTTTGATCCTGTCTTCTCTGATCCTCCCCTTCTACTGACAGGCTTCCCAGTAAGAGGGGAGAGAAGACCTGCAGCCTAGACAGAGCTGGATCATTAGAGGGGAGATACTAACCAATGCAAGGTTTTTACCTTAATGCAGAGAAAGCATTAAAAGGTAAAAAACCTTTAGTGTTCAGAACACATTTAATTAATCTTGAAAACTTAGGTCTCGTGCATAATGCAGCCGTCAAATTTACGATTTACAGGAGTCTGACTTTGTTTTCTCGGTCCCTAAATTACCTTCTATGTTCCCCTGTGTGTCCATGCACACACAGGAGTTTAGAGGCAGGGGTGTTAAGGGGCAGAAATCTGAACACACAAAAATCACGCACAGGAGAGGAGTGTTTAGGAAGGAAAAAAAATAAATAAAAATTAAAAATTCTCACCAGTGAAATGAACACTCACAAATCCCTGACACGTCAAAATGAGTCTAAACTCATTTGAAAATAAAAATCGCTTTAGGCGCATTTTTAAATGTTGCTTTACTCCGAATGGGAGAAAGACCTTAGTTTAATCACTTCAGAACCAGGTCAAACCTCACATTTCTAACATAAAATTTATGCTCTGTTCACACTAGTTTGGGCCCACATTCCATACAAGGAAAAGGTGCATGCACCTTTTTGACCATGCGGGTTCTGTGCAGTTCCTGTACCTGCAAATCGCACTGCAGGGTGAGATGCATGGGCATGCCATTCAAAAAGAGAAACTTGATGTGGCTGTGGGAATCACATAGATTACCGCACCAGCCAGCCCACAATGTGCAGACTAGTGTGAACGTAGCCTTAAAAATCTGAATTTTATGCTAGAAAAATTACTTAGAGCCCCCAAACAATTTATATTTTCTGAAAGCAAAGTCTCCAGGAGGATAAAATGGTAGATGTTATATTTCTTCTGGCACAAGATATTTGCACAGCAGTTTAATGCAAATTTTCAAGAAAAAAAAAAATACACATTCATGAATTTTAGAACCCACAAAACCATATAATACCCAATTTTTGTAAAATATTAAAATCATGTTATGCCCTGTAAATAGATACCCAACATGTTATGCTTTAAAATTGCACACACCCATGGAATGGCGACAAAACTACAGCACTTAAAAATCTCCATAGGCGATGCTTTAAAAAAGTCTTTAGAGGTTACCAGTCTAGCATTACACAGGAGGTCTGGAACTAAATTTATTGCTCTAACAGTTGTGACAAAACTTTACATGTGGTGCGATCACTGTTCACAAATGCATGCAGGACCTGTGTGTGTGTTTGCATTTGTGTGTGAGCACTTTGAAAATGTCTGTCTTTGATATTCCCTCGTGATAGCATGGGCAATGACAAGTTCTGTTTACTGAGAGATCTGACCTCAGATCCTCCCTCTTTGTTGAAGTAGTGAGTATAACTTGCCTACAGTCATTCCCAGAAAACACTAAAGCCTACCTGGCCAGCACCAGCCCTCATAGTCATTTCCATCTTTGGTTTTAACATAGAAGTTGCGGGATCGAATTTCACTATGAATCCTGTAACCGCTGTCAATCTTGATATGAGGGTCCACAATAGCTACCATCTGTAGTACCAGGAGAAAAAAGGAAATAGATGAAGTTGCCATTTACCCACAAACCAGAAAAAAAACTATTTATACATTTTCAAACTAAACAGTTAATCCACATTAAAGTATAAAGATAAGAAAAGGCAGCATGACATGAAAATTAACTCACTTTCCGCCTCTTCTCCTTCAAGCCAGTCAGCATGTTTTTTGGTGTGGGAAACTTATTAGGGTCCCATGTGAAGTATCTCTTTCCATCAGCATGCTCAATATCCAACCAGATAACGTCATAGGGCAGATCATGTTCATCAAACCCAGCATCTACATTGCGTACATCCTCCTCGTCATTGTAGTTCCATCGGCACTGGTGGTAGCCAAGTGAATAATATGGTGGCAAAGCCTGGGTCCCTGCGTACAAATAAATAAGTCAGTTTGAAGTGTCTATGCAGATGGACACTGGCCTTTTATCCAAAACAGTGCCCAACATTCCCCAGCTGCAATTTTTCATTGAAAATTAAAATCCATTTGGTTTCTTATATTAAAGAAACATAATGGTCTGAATATTTGGTTGGTTTTAATTACTACATACAGTACTCGCACAGAAAACAGTGTAGCTGAGCTTTTCAGAGCTAACAAAGCAAAATATACTTAAGCCTCTTAAGAGATCAGTATAGGTTTACTTTAAAGGGTTTTTATTTTTCAAGGAGATACCTCTCTGCAAGTAAACAAAGGAGACAATAAGCAAAGTCATACATATTATTTGATCACAAACCATCTACGTTTAAATACCTGTGAGGCTGGCATACTGCTTAAACACATCACTTGGAGAAGGTCCTAGGAGGAGGAATACATCAATGATGCCACTCTCTGACATCCAGTGCACGTCTGTCTGAGGGGTCTCTCCACCTCCCTGCATATACTGCAGCATCTTCCCAAAGAGAGTCTGATAGGACAGAATGATAAAATGATCAAGTAACTGATATTTCAGGATTTTCGCTTTTCATTTAGTACGCCATTTGCTCACCTTTCCGGCAGTGTTAGAGCTAATATCTACCCAGGTTTCAGCAGCATTGAGCCAGAAGATACCTAAAGTGCGGTGAATGTTGTGAGCTAGGAGCAGTGGCACAGCCCCATATAAAGCCATGGTGTTATACAGTTCATATTGAAAGACATCCAAGTTATATAAGCGGTAGGGATCTGTGCTCCTGAAAAAAAACAAGGGCAAATTTAGAGTTAAAAAAAAACAAAAAAAACACAAAACCACCACAGGAAGTAAATTTCTACTGGAAGTTGTGAATAAGCAAGCCAGTTGAATTACCCAAGAAGCTACCCGTCTGTACTGTATGGAAAAGAGTGAAGGAAGGAAAAAAAAAAAAAAAAAAAACATTTTGAACTTCTTACTCTGTTGTTCGTAGTCTTAAATTGTCTGCATGTTCTGGAATTCCATAAACATGTTCAAATCCTGGTAGAGAGAAGTCTAGACCCAATGAAGAAGGACCTGTAGAGGTTTCATAAAGATGCAAGACTTTATTACCTACAAAAGTCTAATGTATCTGACAACACTGAATACAGCTGGCAAGAACAGTCTGATCCTGCCCCAATATAAATCCTGGCTAGATTTCGGGTACATGGGAGACGTACATATTGGATCACAAAACAAAGTGCATAAAGCTAGTAACTTAAGTTGAAATGTGAAGGAACAGTAAGGACTATAGAATTATTTGTACCTTCCTCCCCCTATATTATTGTGGTTATGCAGAGGATGCATCATTGGATACCTATACTGAAAAGTGAAGATTGAGCAAAACATTTTATACTCAGTATATATTCCTACAAGAGTACGGTTTAAGCAAAAATGATCTAATCTTTTCCTTGAATCTCTCCAGAAAATAAGAAATGCACTTCCTGACATGCAACCGTGCTTAGGAGTTTCAGCTCTATAACCAAATAGCTTCATATTTGCATGCGACTGCCTCTGAAAGGCAAACTGGCCATATGCCGATTGAATTTCAGGCAGATCCTGATAAACTAGCTCAAATTTTCTTAGTGAGTGACCTTGTCAGCAATCTCCCACCCGATATCCTTCAATTTAGATATAAAAATCTGCTATCAGAATACAATAGCCACAGTGGGCCATTAATCCATTGGAACTGTACAGTATGGATGGAGGAATCTGAACGATGTGCATGTGGCCAGCATTAGTATCACAATATTTTAAAGCTGTGCCCAAAAATCTAGGTTCTCTAGGTTTGTGCTTTTTTCACTTCCTCTGCAGCTTCTCGATAATTACCTAATCAGTCATTGGGTTCAGCTCTGGCATGAGGAAGTAGAGCCCTTTCTACCAAGATGTTTAATTCCACACATTACTGTACACTGTATGGAATGGGGCATGGCAAGTTAGTAATGGGGACTGGACGATGAAAAGCATTTTGATCGTTCTGATAAGTCACACACAGTGCTTCGGAATGCTGCACACAATTCCAAGTGTCAAATAAATGCTCCCCTGCTGCACTGCGCAATTCTTCCCACTGGCCACTATGTCTTCCATCAGTATCTGTATACAGAACCACAAACAGTAACTGCCTTCACTTAGCAAAATTTCTGAAATAAAGCCCATGTTGAACACTGCCTTCAGACAAGTTCAGTTATTACAACTACCAAAGTAAAAATATGATTGGTAGCAATATACAAATGCTAGGAGTTAACCTTGGCACAGTGACAAGTGGAGGAAGCAAAAAAACATTCAGGACACATAAATGGGGTGATGTGTACATTGACAAGTGTCTTCCAGATAAATGGATTTTAATCCCCTCTTACCTGGTTTCCTGGGTTATGCTCAGTAAAACACATTCACACCCTGTGAATCCAGCAGTGTTCTTTAGTGATCTGCAGCTACACCGCCAAGTCATGTACTGCCTTTTTCATGTCTAATATCAGGAACCAGCTGTCTCTTCCAGGTTCATACAGCTAGCCCCCGATGCACATGCATTGCTTCCTCAGGGGGCCAGCTGCAAGAACCAGCAAAAAGGCACCCAGGCTCCTTGATGACAAGCTCCCATCCATGCAAATCTGGAAGAAGGCCGTATACACAAAAAGAACCAAACGTATGAAAGTGAAAGTTGGAAGAAAGTAGTGCAGGAACTACTTTCAAGTTTCTGTGACCTGAATTAGCACAGATATGACTGGTACTTATTGGAAAATATGGGACGCAACATGTCATGTGACTTTGGACCCCAAAGTCGCATTACAAGTCGCACAAGTGTGAATAGGCTCAAAAAAAAAAAAAAAAAAAAAAAAAATGCACTTCCATATTTTGCAGTCCGCAGCATCCTCCAGTGCTCTAACATTAAGTCATGTGACCAAGTTTCGTTTTTTTAATTTTAAAGCAGCAGCGTGGCCCTTAGTAAGGCTATATACATGGGCCCTTACATACAATTATTTTATTTTTTTAATATAGTGTGCATGGTGCTGCTGTGCTTTGGCCTTTAAAAGTTTAGTTAGTAAGCCTTTATGTGCAATCCAAATAGTAAAGCCTGAACAATTTAGTTTTTGGACAAGAAAATGTAATTAATTTGATTATATTTGTTCCCAATATACATGAATGGAGTGTATGTGTGGTTATACAATATACACTGCTCAAAAAAATTAAAAGGAACACTTTGAAAACACATCAGATTTTAAATGGGGAAAAATATCATGCTGGATATCTATACTGATATGGACTGGGTAATGTGTTAGGAACGGAAGGATGCCCCATTGTTTGTAGGTGGATAATTTTTCATTTCCATCAGAGGACTGAATTCAAAGACACCCCGAAAATCAAAGTGAAAAAGATGCTGCGGCAGGCTAGCCCATCTTGCTGAATTTTAATGGCAGCAACTCAAAATGGTACTCAGCAGTTTATATGGCCCCCACGTGCTTGTATGCATGCTTGACAATGTCGAGGCATACGCCTAATGAGATGACGGATGTCATCTGTCATGGTGTCCTGGGGTATTTCCTCCCAGATCTGGACCAGGGCATCAATGAGCTCCAGGGAGAGTCTGATGTGCCATCTAGCGTAGTCGGATAGACTGAAACATGATCTCCCAGAGGTGTTCTCTATTGGATTTAGGTCAGGCGAGCGTGGGGGCCATTCAATGGTATCAATTCCTTCATCCTCCAGGAACTGCCTGCATACTCTCGCCACATGAGGCCGAACAATGTTGTGCACCAGGAGGAACCTGGGACCCACTGCACCAGCGTAGGGTCTGACAATGTGTCAGAGGATTTCATCCCGATACCTAATGGCAGTCAGGGTGCCATGGTCTAGCCTGTACAGGTCTGTGCATCCCTCCATGGATATGCCTCCCAGACCATAACTGACCCACCACCAAAATGGTCATGCTGAATGTTATGGGTAGCATAACGTTCTCCGTGGCTTCTCCAGACCCTTTCATGTCTGTCACATGTGCTGAGGGTGAACCTGCATTCATCGGTGAAAAGCGCAGGGTGCCAGTGGTGGACCTGCAAATTCTGGTGCTCAATGGCAAATGCCAACTGAGCTCTATGGTGCCAGGCAGTGAGCACAGGGCCCACTAGAGGACGTCGAGTCCTCGGGCCACCCTCATGAAATCTGTTTCTGATCGTTTGGTCAGAGTCATTTACACCAGTGGCCTGCTGGAGGTCATTTTGTAGGGCTCTGGCAGTGCTCTTCCTGTTCCTCCTAGAAAAAAAGAACCAGATACCAGTCCTGCTGATGGGTTAAGGACCTTCTACGGCCCCGTCCAGCTTTCCTAGAATAACTACCTGTCTCCTGGAATCTCCTCCATGCTCTTGAGACTGTGCTAGAAGACAAAAGCAAACCTTCTGGCAATGGCACGTAGTGATGTGCCATCTTGGAGGAGTTGGCCTGTCTGTGCAACCTCTGTATGGTCCAGGTATCGCCTCATGCTACCAGTAGTTACACTGCCCCTAGCCAAATGTAAAACAAATGAAAAACAGTCAAAAAGATGAGTAAGGAAAAAAATGTCAGTGGCCTCCACCTGTAAAACCATTCCTGTTTTGGGGGTGACACCAAAGCAACAAACTGATTAACAACCCCCTCTGCTACTTAACTGACCAGATCAATATCCCAGTTTTATTGACTTGATGCTATACTCCGATTAAAAAAAGTGCTCCTTTAATTTTTTGAGCAGTACATATATTTTGGCAATCAGTCCACTGCACTCCTACTATGCAATCATCCTCTTGCTTGTGACCTCTGCCATTCTTTTATTAAAATATTTATTTTATGAGGGGGAAAAAAAAAGTAAGCATCTTTGCCATAAACCTTCTTACCATAAGGCTTGCTGTCTGTATGAGTTTTAAAGGTTTCTTCTTCCCACATTCCAGGTTCATCCTCTTCTTCCTGCCAGAAGATATTACATTTCAATAAACCTTACAAGAATGAAATGCAGTCTAAATCTCAAATATGTATGTCATTCTTTTTTTCCCCCACTTTTCAATATCTCAACATTCAATTTCTATAACCATGCCCATACAAACTAAAATACCATTCTTTCGTTGGCACACCACACATTTAGAACCGGTTGTCAAAACTTCAGACTCCTCTAGTGAGGAGAAAAAAAATGCAATGCATCTTTCTTCTCACAGAGGAGAATGGTAAAAAGGGGTGGGTTTATGTTATACATTTCAGGTACTTGTATAGCTTTGTCAATATACACAGCTCTTTACATACATATTGTATATTCACATCAGTCCCTGCCCTCAAGGAGCTTACAATCTAAAAAAGGTCCACAATTACACACACACACACACACACACACACACACACACACACACACACACACGCCAATTTAGACAATAGCCAATTAACCTACCAGCATGTCTTTGGATTGTGGGAGGAACTAGAATACCTGGAGGAAACCCACGCAGGCACAGGGAGGACATGCAAACTCCAGGCAGGTAGTGCTGTGGGATTTGAACCAACGAACCTAGTACTACTAAGCGGAAGTGATAACCACTTAGCCACTGTGCTACCCACCAACACTAAGGATCACTGACTGGCAATGCATAGACAAATAGCCGCTAGAATCACCCTGTTTTCTAGACATACTCTATATCCTTAATGGAAGGCACTTGTAGACAGAAACTAGTGCATTACACTGGACAATCCAGGGAAGCACAGGGCTCTCCAGCGATTTCAGATCATGCAAATGAGACTAATACTGTACAGTATATTCTGACTTTTCCAGCACAGGAACCAGGCTATTTCCCCAGTCAGTTGCCTGAAGAATCACAGCACAAAACAAAAAACAAAAAAAAGGGAGTTGCCTATAGTTCTACTTTAAAGCTGAACCTCCTCGCCCACCAACAGGCAACTCCAATGCTGAAACCTGGAGAAGCCTGATTGGGTGCCAGATCCTTCAGGAAGGTGCTGACTACAAGGATCCATAAAGCTGATTTTTCACAGGTGGTCATCTGAGACCATAACAGTGTATATGCCAGGAGAAGGGGCTAGACTAAAAGACAAGGGCTGAAGCTCTGAGAAGTAGCAGAGGCACTCGAGCAACACAGACAAAAAGGTCTACATCCAGGTAGGGGATAACCAGAATGGCTACTGGTCCACACTGTAGGTCAGAGAGTCCCTCTGGAGGGAAGAGATAAAAGGAGGTATGTACCAAAAGGGACTTTACAAATCCCAAGGACAGGAGATCTTCCAGAAGGAAGGGAGTGCAGGCCCAGATGGGGCACAGTTCCAGAAACCAAACACATGGAATGAAGAAGGGTTCCAGGGCAGGGAGAAACCCAGGAAGACTGGCGAAAATACATTATTCTGTGCAGTAGGGAGGTAAGGAGCAACTGAATGGGGAACCAGAGGCAAAGACTGCTTTCTGCACCTGAATGCCAGAGAAGCAAACTACCCAAAGACACAAGAATGCACAACTCAGCCAGCGCAGTTCCACCAGAGTGCTCTGCACATCTGTATGGCCATCGGACCCATGTGGGACATAACCTTAGGTGCTTCTAAGAAGTCATTACAACCTGTATAATGGTTTCCCTGTTAAGGTGATTTGTAAAGTGGTGGTTTTATGATGGGAATAATGGGATTTTTGGCTTACTTGTAAAAAACACCATTTAAGAATTAACTTTGCCTGTGCCCTGTGAAGTACTCAGACCACTGGGTTGTGGTCCACCTTCAAGTGACTGGACACTGGCAAACAGCCAGCAACAAAATGTGGATTTGTCCAGTGCTCAAGGGTAAGCCGAATCACCCTGAGCTTCAGGACGTTGATCAGAATCTGGGCTTCCTTTGACAAATATGTCCTTTGAACTGACAAAGAATCCACCTTAACTCTTGAGTTCTAAAGGAACCCAGCCAAAGATAGCTTCTGCTGCATCTTTAGTGTAAGAGTATTCTTTCCTCGGCGAGGAATTAGCGCAGTAGCGGGTTGTGCGTGACCCTCTGGATGAGTCGGAGCACAGTGAAAAAGGCACAGCACTACAGCAGGATCTTGGTAAAACAAGTTGCGCTTTATTTACAAGGTTGGTGATCACAAAAGTGCAGATATCCAAACCAGCTTAAAAAAAAAAAAAAAAAAAAAAAAAAAAACACAGAAAAAGCCTTGCCACATTGGGCGTCTAACTGCAAACACAGGATCCTATCTACTTGTCTGGGTACAGCCTACCACTGCTCAGACACATAGCGTTCACATTGAGTATCTCAAAGTGCATAGTCACACAGACTTAATCTCACCACAGTATTGGTTGGTTGCTCCCCAGTCTGTCCTGCAGAGAAATCTGGTTCCAGATTGGAACATTCCCCCTAAGCAGCCTGGGAGTTTTATAGAGCCCAGAGGCCTTACCCTGCTACAGCTGAGCTCATTAACCCATCAGTAAGCCAAACAGGCTCACTACACTGCAAAAAAGGAAAAACAGTCAGTTTAGAGCATGAATCTGGACACATCCCCTAGTTCTTCTCCGGGATTCCGGCCTCCTATAAATGTTCTGGATAAATATATTCAGGGCATTGCGAAAAATACATTTGCCCTCATAAAGGCATAAAATTCAGCTACTTTTTTTGCAGGATCTTCCAGGTGACCAGCATTTTGACCACAACACCTACTCCATGTAGATGTCCCAGGCAAAGAAGCTATCGAAGAGAATCTCCCAAACCATACACACATATGTAAAGCTTCAGGAATGAGCTCACATAGCTGTCTAGCCAAGGAAAGACTTAGGAGTCCTAGGTTTTTTAGCCATGTGCTTTGCCCAAAACCAACAAAGCCTTACAACCCCCTATAGATGCAAAGGCATGTTGCATGGCTGAACTTGCCAAGATAAATAAATATTTAAAAAGGGACCTCTTTTTATCCACAGGTTACTTAAACACTGGAGAATGGTCCTCAGGCACTGCAAGGATCTTATTTAGACAAGACACAACAGGGTCCATAGCTGGGACTGCCTTTTGCAGAAGCTAGCCTCCAACAGCTATTGTTGAACAAACAGCAACACTTATTTGGATGGGAAAAGACATTGTACAGATCTTTGGTCTGAAGATGCAATGGAAAGGACTTGGCTGGCTTGGAAAGCACCCAGCTTTCCAAGACCCTAGCCTTGTCGCCCTAGGCCTCAAGGGTTTCGACAGCTCAAGAGACCACAGTGGATTTTCCTTCACAAAAAGGTGGTTAAAAAAATTCTGGATTTTGGAATACATTTGAGGCCAAAGTGTTCTTAAGACAATTCTTGCACCGTAATCCTTACACATAGTAGCCAGTTGATCCAGCACAGCTTCTCCTTTTACACAACAGTACAGGAGGAAAAAGTCCCTGAAGGAGTGATAAACCCAGATGCGGCTTTCGAATCAGGGCCAGACATTCTGTTGCCCCCACAAATGAGATTCTGGAAGGAAGGCTGTCTACAGCGGTAATGTAAGAGCAGAGGCCCTACAGTTTTTTTTTTTTTATCTGCTGTACTTTCTGTGCCCACTAAGGTTGCCATACTCACAGTATCAGATCCATGGGAGAGGGGTAGCCTCCATGTATCCCATCACCTGGAGGCCTAAGGTCTCTGAACGCATTGCGGTCCATGCTGAAAACAGTCGAGCAGCTACTGGCGTGTCTTTATTCAGCCACTGTCCAGTCCAGAAAGGGCCCGAACCAAAAATTGTTCCTCCATACATGCAGTGCTTCCACTTGGCCATAACTACACAGTAAGTTTGGGCTTCATGTATTTGGCCCGCCGGGCCCCACAAATGCACTGAGCCTTAACAGTGCATTTTGATTGACCAAAGCAATACTTTTGCCAATTATAGCGCAGTATTTAAGAACCTCAGTGCAGCTGTCAGACAATGGGAGCCAGCGTCCAGAGCTGAGCTTTTTTTTGGTCTGCAGTGGGGCAGGCGAAGTGATTGATTTTGGATCTACTTCGAGGGGCAATTTTTTCATTTCTGTTTTTTAATAAAAGGATCTGTCAAAGACTGTCATTTTTACACTACACTTTTTTTGGAATGGGTAGCGGGGACAAGGTACTTTGGGGAAGGGGCACTCATTCATCCCCACCTTTCATGACCTGCCAGGCTGCATGCTTGGATAAGGGCCTGGTATGGATTTTAGGGGGCGCGTGCCCCCCCGCCATATTTTTAAATCTTGGCATGGGGGTTTCCCTCAAAATTCATACCAGACCTGAAGGGCTTGGTATGAATGGGAATGAACCCCCACGCAATTTTTTTAATGAAGCTGTCAGTGGGGAACCCCGCTGACAGCTGAAACATTAAAGAATGTCTTCACTACTAAAATACCGCATGACTTACTATAACATGCGGTATTCTAGTAGCGGTGCGGTATCTTGCCGCATACTCAGATGCAGTAAGATACTGCTTAGTGATAGTCCCTGTTCGAAATTCACAGTCGAATTTTCAGTAGGTTTGAATGTTCGACCGCGAACCAGAGGGGTTTGTTTGGTCCATCACTACTACAGAGTAGTACAGATGTGCAGGACGCACCTGTGCAGTGTCACTACTGAGCTATTTGTGCAGAGGAGGTAGGGGAGGCTGCATCTGTAGGATGAACCAGTGGAGTGCAAGAGGGTTAAACTAGGGCATGTGTTCAGTCAGTACCCAACAGATTGACTAGCAGAGCATGGAAACAGAATTGAGTTTTCTAGCAGCAGTGCCAGCTGATCTGGAGCCCTGAAGCTAACAGCATGGTGGAGAAACCTGACTGTGCCCAAGGGCCCCCTCAACCCAAAGTAAGGATAACCAGTACTGGAAATCCCAACAAAAGGGACAACTTACGTGTCATGCAGATGAGATGCAGATAGCTTAATCTTTACCAAATCCTAGTTAAGTTATGCTGCAGGGTAATCAGGACTTGGCTATGCCACAGCCTGGAACCTGTATAGCATCTGCAGCTAACTCAAGCGATACAACCACCTGCCAAAGTGAGCATAAAACAAGTTCACAGGTCTTTCTCACCCAGATCTGGCTATAGCCCCTCCAGGAATAGCAATCTTTAGCGACTAATCAGGAGAACTGTATCTGATCTAGAGCACTAAGGCTCAGCAGCCCAATGCAGTTGTTAGAAGATCTTGTGTCTCAGCAGAGAGTCCGGCCTTGTTCACATCTGGCCTTTTGGGATCTCAGGCAGATTTGCTGTGATTCTGCCTACAATCTCAAAACGCCCTGCAATAATGGGAAAATGCACTACCTGTGTTCAGGTGACATTTATTTTTAATGGCACCTAAATGCGGTTCTGCTGCGATTGTCACAAGATAAAATCGCACTGCAATCACATCAAACCACATCATGCGAAGCTTGTCGGCCAAAAAGGAGCAGGAACTTCTTCTGGGTGTCAAGTTTCACGCAATACGGTTTGCCACGACTGGAATGGGACAATCAAGACAGAACCGCATTTAGGTGCAACTGAAAATGAATGGCATCTGAGTAAGCATAGTGCATTTTCCCACTATTGCAGTGCGTTTTGAGGTCGCAGACAGCAAACAACTGAAGCAATGCTTGCAGCTGGAAGGGTTATGCAGAGCCAAGTCAAGCTTGGCTACTTGCTAGTGTCCAATCACCTGAAGGTGCAGTATAACCCTGAGGATTAACTAACTCACCTGTGATGAATGATTAAGACAGACCCACCATTTAATTTCCCTCTAGAAGGGGGAATAGTTTCAGCACACTCAAGTGGGTCCAGGGACCTTCAGGGTGCTTCCACTCTGCATAGAGGAAAGCTGTGGAAGCTCTAAAAAGACGCAGGGCTGAAGGATGCAGGCTCATCTTTCAAATGCAGGGTAGTACACTGCATTAAGAAAATTTTTTTTAAATAAATCTGAAATTACCCTTTCCAATTTTAATAAGGTAACAGCAGGAGACTATGGTGCCTCTATGGAGATACTTTTGGAATTTAGAATCTGGGTATGAGATGTCATAGGGAGCAGTGGCCTGGCCTAATCTAGGGCTTCTGGAGTGTCAAATACTTTGTAGGGCAGGGGTTAAAATTTTGAGTTCAGACCTACTAGCCAGTCACAAAAAACAAAACAAAAACCAACTTACTCTCCACCAGTTGCCCCACCCAACCTTGCCCCGATCCACCCCCAACCCCACCCTCACCCCCAAACCCCACCCCCTTACAGCTTATGAAATTACATTTTACATTTTTCTTTAGAAGAGTCCAAAATATAAAACTGTACACACAGTAATGTATATCCCAGCTCCCCTGTACCCCATTATAGTGATAACATGTATACAGTAATGATTACTGTATACATGTCCTATCACTATAATGGAGTACAGGGGAGCTGGGATATACATTACTGTATACATGTCCTATCACTATAATGGAGTACAGGGGAGCTGGGATATACATTACTGTATACATGTCATATCACTATAATGGAGTACAGGGGAGCTGGGATATACATTACTGTATACATGTCATATCACTATAATGGGGTACAGGGGAGCTGGGATATACATTACTGTATACATGTCCTATCACTATAATGGAGTACAGGGGAGCTGGGATATACATTAGAGTATACATTACGGAAACCGGAAGTTGTAAACCGGAACTTGGCTTCACAATGAGGCTTGGAGTGCAGGTGCAGTCGCTCCATGCTTCATCTGTGCTCGCTACAGGAGGAATTTCTCCTTGCATTTGGCAAGCGACTTTTTCAAACCCTGCTGTAGGGGATGGCTCTGCAGTGAGTTTAAGGCTTCTACAGTTAGTGTCTTTAATGAGTTCAATGTATGTAACAAAAAATAGCCAAGTTGACATGGAGATCCTTCATAACAAGGAGAGGGGAGTCAGCCCCACCCAATAGACCTGAGGAAGACTTCAATTATATAATTCCTAAAAACTATAGGGGGACCAGGTTTCAGACTGCAGGCACTCAAGAGGCTATGGAGTAAAGAAAAACAAAACAAAAAACACATACAGTATATGTCCTGAAGATGGGAAAAACGTGGTATGATATTCTCGAAGGGTTTGTTTACCATTACTAAAAAAAAAAAAAAAAAAAAATTAAAAAAAAAAAAAACCGACACATTTTCCAGCCGGGGCTCACTTTCAGTTCAACGAATGTAGTCGCTTCTGTTGCCTATAAACTGAGCAGCTCCAACAGAGGAGATTACACACTGAGCATGTACAACCTGAAAGAACAGGACGCCCTCCCTTGTGATAGTATAGTGTTCAATATAGCAGCCATTCCTTGTGTGGTTTTCACCCAGATATATTGCCAAAAAAAAAAAAAAAAAAAAAAAAAAAAAAGTATGATAGGATAGATCTAATGAGTAATGGGTCCAGAAAGCACATTAAATAGAGTTCAACACTAAACAAAGACACATCATAAAACGTGACATCTGTTCTGCTCTGGTTCAGCTGGGGATCTTTTCACATATCCCCCTGCTGAAAGAACTGGAGAGCACCCATGTGAAAAATGTTTTAATTTCAGTTCTCATTGCTAGATATAGAAAAAAAATTGTGTTATAGTGTACTGAGCTAATAAAGCCCTAAAGGTTACTACAGCCACAAAATATACTTTTCTTTGAAACACTTTCACCTCCAATCCTTTTATATTGTTATTCACATCCCCATAATCTCACCTTCTTGTTTTCCTCCTCTTTCACAACTTCCTCCTCTGCAGGAATTTCGCTATCACTTTCTGAGGCAGCGTCAGTCTTTTCTGAGTCACTACAAGCCGAACAGAGACGAGGGGTGAGGAGTGACGCTTCCAGGGAGGATGGGATAGATGGGAGCAGAGGCCAGGGAGAAAGAGGAGGGAAAGGATTAGAAGATGATAGGGGTATAAGATGTAAGGGGGGTAGAAGATCTACAACTACTCAATAGCTGTGGTAATATTTACATTATCCCTAGCTACTGTCGCTGCAAAGTATAGAATCACAATACGTTTAAAGCTGCACACACACAGTGGCTGTTGGAAGGTCACTATCTAAATTTTAGAGAATATCTAAATTGAAGTTGGGACTCACAAAAACCAATCTGCTTAAATTATGCTCACTCCAGAATAGCTTATCCCATTACAGAGATGTTAGATTTGACAACATCCAAAACCTTGCTGTATGTGTGTGGCTTTTAGAATTTGGAGTCAGGTATACCTGCGATTCCCAGTCTCTGTCCCCAATCTGTCAGGTCAGTTTCACTATCTAAATAATCAGCCAATTAAAGCCTTGTAAGTGAAAGTGTATGAGAGAACTCTCCTTGCTCTTAAAAACCATGCCCCTTTTTTTTTTTCTTTAGGTAAAAAACACCTTAGTGGTAGGGGCAACACAAAGCTTTCAGACTTTGTGAAGAAACTTGACAAAATACCCTGCGCCTCCCCAAACTTAAAATTCTTACCCAACAAAAAGGTATCGTGTCAGCTGCCCCTTTAAAAAAAAAAAAAAAAGTGTCCCCACAATACTGTAGTGCAAACCAGAAATCAAAGCAGGCGCTATACACCCTTAATTACAATTTTCCTTACCAATCACACAATTCTAAAAGTGAAAAAAAATGCAACATAAAATTAAAGTGGAAAAAAAAAAAAAAAAAAATTGCGACACACACACACACACACACACACACACACACACACACACAGTGTTGTATATAAAGTGTTCAGTAGTTCTCGAATGCAATTTGTTTCTAACTCTCCACCACAAAGCGAAGCTGTAGTCCACCAGTGAATCCCACAACAAGTGTTTACTCACCAGACAGTGATGACCCTAAATGGATCAAGGTCAATGTGTGCTTTGTTTTATTGGAAAAAAAAAAAAAAAAAAAAAAAAGGACCACTTCACACCATCCTGCTGTCAGTATGCTAAATCTCCAGGAACTTAAGTTTCCATCTCTCTCACATTGTCTCCAGGAACAAAACCAATAAGAAAATTCTCATTGTGCAGTATTTTATTAATGTGCCCACAAATAAATTAAGTGTTTGCCACTCACATTTCTTTGTGCCTAAACCAGCACCAAAACAAATCAGCCCATCCTAACAGAACTGACAACCAAAAAGTCCTGCCTCTACGCAGTCAAGGCATCTTGACAACGTCATACATGAAATGTATAGAGACTTTCGGTCACTTCCAGTTATGCAAGTTCCAGCATTTATGCTCCAGATGAAAGTGGAGCAGCGGCAGCCAACCATTGTTTGACTGATTGTTTTGGTGCTAGTTTAGGCACAAATAAATGTGAGTGGCACTTGTTATTTTAATAATAATAGTTTAATAATAGGGCACATTAATACTGCACAATTAGAACTTTCTTATTGGTTTTGTAAGAGTTGGGTGATGTGAGAGATTGACATTTAAGTTGCTGGAGATTCAGCATACTGACATCAGTGTAGAGAAGTACTTTTTCCCCCAACAAAACAAAGCGCATTTTGACCTGCTTATCCATTAAGGGTCATCACAGTCAGGTGAGTAAACTCTTGCTGTCACTGGTGGACAACAGTTTGGCACAGTGGTTGAGGAGAGTGAGAAATAAATTGCTTTAGAGAAGCAATGTACACTTATATACAACACAATGTTAGCATTGCAAAGTTGTGTGTGGAGTAGAAAAGTTTTTTTTTTTTTTTTTTTTAACTGGTTTTTTTTTTGCTTTATATAAAAACTGTATGATTAGTAAAGAACATTTCAATTATAAAGTGTGTATAGCACCAACTTAATTTGATTTGTAGTTCTTTTATGAAGATCTTAATTCCTACCTTCCCAGTGTTTAGGAATTTTTACTGCTTATGTCCTTCATGTCATCTGGCTATAAGTTCAGTTTGGAAGAGATTCAAAAAGTCTAGCTAAGTATGCAATTACTAGGTGTTAATTTTCAAGTATTTCAGTCTATGTAGATGGGAAGTATCAGTGTATGTAAATGGGATTACCTAGAGAAAAGATTCTTCACTTTATGCCACATGTTACCGACAGCGCTACTAACTTTGGCCGAGAGACTGGGAGGTGATGGGGCAGGAATAGAAGAGGGCAGAAAGGGATGGGGCATAGAGTAAAAGCAAAAAAGAAAGAAAAACACATTTCAGTTTCAATCCCTGGGAAAAAGGCCAACCCTCATCCCTCCAATCATCTTCACATATTTGAATTTTCTGGCTACACTTAAGGAAAGCAACCCGCTTAACTATTGTGCCTCCCCTGATGAACACTCAAATTAAACCAAGTGTTACTTACGTGTCCTTCCTTGCTCGTAGGTGTTCAAAATAAAGAAGTCCTCGAGAATTGACACTCAGTACCAAGTCTTGGCCTGAAAGTATATCCAGACGAAAAGGTGATCCTGTCACCAGGAGCTTGTGACCTTCACCTCCCAAGGACAACTCTAGAGTGTTGTCATCTTGCCCAGTCACCTGTAGGCTGTGACAAGAGCCATATAAAAAGCACACTGTAAATCATGCAGATATATAGAGCTAAAGAATATACAACTGAAACGTACTGGTATATTCAATTGGTAGCATGAGAAGGAAACACACATACACAGAGGCCACAAAGCAAACTACTTACTTCTCAGGAGTTGGCGTCCCAACCAACACATCAGGAACCTCATATCTCGGTTTTAGAGGCTTAAGCTCATTAATCTTAATGCGTGTCATATTTCCATGCAATCCAAAGACTTCCAGCAGAAGAGAGACCTGGGACAACATAAAAGACACTTGTTCAAAATTCTCTAATGACCAGTGAATTCTCCCACACCCTTCCAATGAATCAAAATGCATGTTCCCAGCATTCAGCAAAAGAAAGCCATTTATAATCTGTACCAGTAAGAACAGGACTCAAATAGTTACCAAATAGCGATTTAAATGTAGGGAGTGCACTGAAGGAATGCTAAAGATGGACCCTCTGATCCCTTCTGTATTCATTTGTATTGTAATTGTACTGTCTGCACTTATGTTGCAAACTTCTGCGTAAACTGTTGGAACTATATAATCCTGAATAATACTACTACATCTACAAACAGAGCGACATTTAGCTTTAACTGGAGGCTGTCACCATGTACCCTTCAAGCAGAACTGAAGACAAAATAAAAGTTTAAAATTGCAAAACAAGCATGCTTTTTCTTGCTTAAGAGAGACAGGCAATGCCTGCTTGCAATCTTCTCTAGCATATACACTGAGCTGCATATGCACAGCTCAGTTTACATTCAGAACACACCCCCATCTCACAAATGTGTCCATGATCTTCTTTGTCAAAAAAGTTATCAATGTTACAGATAGCACTACTGCTCAATAGCTCATGGTCCTGTGACAAAGTCTTAAGCTGGCTACAGATGGTTCAAATCCCTACTGCCGACAGGGATGTGACCCACCATCAGGAGAACACAATATCTCTGTGGAAGGGACACGTAGTTGCAGAAAATAAAAAATTGCATCATCTATGTTCTGCCTAAATGATGAAGCGTGTTGGGCGGAGCTTTATGACATCACATTGCAAGCAGTAATACTGTGAAAGCTGAGAACACTGAAGGAGATAGAGATCCTTGTGCACAGGTTCTGTACTCCTTTAAAATATAAAAGATAAACTTTCACATTAACCTTTAATAAACATTTTAAAAACAGACAGCAGTATTCGTTTTTATCTTTGGAGAATATATCTATGCTAACCTGTGGAGTGGAGGAGACGGAGTGGTGTTATTGCAGCCATCCTTTAAAAAAAAGGAAAGGGCACTAACCAGACCTACCGTGCAGTGCAGAAGACAAGGTGGTGCCATTACATATATCGCCTTAAAAAGAGAGAGGTGCAGTATGGACCTATGGTAGCCAGGTCCCACCATGTAAGGTGAGAATCCATCTTATTACTAAATTGGGAAAGGAACACAAAGTGGTGGTGAGTGCCAATATCCCTCCCTCTTTAGGAACTGTATTGTCCTTCGTTATATTGTAAAGCGCTGAGCAAACTGTTGGCGGTATATAAATCCTGTATAAATGAAGGATCTGTGTAGAATATATTAAAAAATGAGCACGTTGCATACTTCTGGGTCACAATTTAAAAAAGGGACAGTATTGTATAATTTTGAAAAGTAGGACTTATGATTTGTAATTATTGTAAGGTGATGGCACTGATGCATATTTTTTCAAGTATATTTTTTGTTTGAATAAATATTTATGTTTTTAACACTAATGAACCTTGAACTAAACTTGTTTGATTGAAAGTTTAGAATGTGTGCACAGAATGCTTAGATATCAACAAGAAAGATTGTTTTGGGCAATTTGAGTTTTTTTTTTCCTTTTTCTTTAGATTCTTATTAAAATGGTTTTCTAGTCTGCTTGAAAAAAAAACCAAATAAAAACACCCAAACATCTTTGTATTTCAAAGTACAATTTTTAACTAAGGGTATATCCATTATTTATTTCAGGTACTTATATAGCGCCAATTTACGCAGTGCTTTACAAATATATTGTACATTCACATCAGTCCCTAACCCCTTAAAAGGGGTGTACAATCTAAGGTCCCCAACTCACATTCATACATACACACACCAGGGCCAATTTATACAGGATCCAATTAACTTAACAGCATGTCATTGAAGTGTGGGAGAAAACCAGAGTACCCGGAGGAAACCCACGCAGACACAGGGAGAACATGCAAACTCCAGGCAGGTGGTGCCGTGGTTGGGATTCGAACAAACGATCCTAGTACTGCCAGGCAGAAGTGCTAACCATTTAGCCACTGTGCTGCCCATCAATCAGGATTTACTTAGACTCAGGAAATAGAAAAAAAAAAAAAAATTCCTGCAAAGAAGGTACAGCAAGCAAGTTTTTCTTCACAGATTTGTCTACAAGAAGCTCCATATAGAGCCATCTAAAACAGGCAGGCATTCATGTTTGTACATCTTGGCATGAGCTACCTAGCTGTGCAAACAGGATTTTTTGACTAGTCAGACAACGATTGCCTACAAAGACACAAAATGGGGTTGGTTTACTAAAGGCAAATGGAGTGCAACTGCACTTGCAGAAAGTATCTATTTTCCCAGAGCTTAGTGAAAGGCGGGATGCTTCAGTTTGTAAACATCCAAGTGCAAAGTAAAGGAGGGGGGCGGGGAAAACACACAGCATTTTTGCTTGCGCATGATTGGATGACGGAAATTAGCAGAGCTTCACCACATTCACTGAGCTCTGGGGAAAATTAACTAACACACACACACACACACACACACACACACACACTTTCCCTTTAATGCAAAAATGTGAATTTTAAAAACCTTGTTGAACTGTACGGCAGCCAAATGAGGACCATTTACTGATGTTAAAAAAAAACAAAGATTGTGTTTAAAGTAATCAGTGCTGCTTCAGTGGAGTTCCAGGACCTTGCCATGTTATCAGGCGCAGGTTCCTAATTTCCCATATATGTCTTCTAGTGTGTATTCAGCTGGTATGTGTTTTTTTTTTTGTTTGTTTGTTTTTTTTTTTTTACACACACGCACTTAAGTTATCCATCACTAATTTCCACCTACCTTGGTCTTGTCATTGATGAGCTGAATCTCAAGCTTGTCAGCAATCAGTTTTGCACTTCCAAGCAAAGCCCGATACTGAGAGGACCCTGGCTCAAGCTTGCGTTGACGTCTTGAAACAAACAAATCAATATAGTTATGTAAATGTGATACCTAAACCAGCTACACGTAGAAGCAATCAACACTGCCATTCGCTCCTTCCTGACTTTTCTTTATACAAGCCATGGACAGCAATTTTCATTACAGCCCTTTATCCTTCCCCCTATTTCAAACTTTAAAATAGAAGTTGCAGAGTCCTGTATTTTTAAACCATGAAATCTAAAGCCTTTCAAAGCTAAATTCACCTTTGGAACATGTTATATCCGTATATCTGTTCCAGCTCATGCCCCACCCACCCGCTCACTCCTTCAAGGACAGAGGCCAGGGGATCCTCTCCTTGCACCCGTTGCCATATTTTAAAATCAGTGCAGCTGTGTGGGACAGCAATCTGTGCATGAATTAACTACAAAATCTGTCTTCCACCTTGGCAAACATCTTGTTCTTCTCAAACTGCGATGGTGATGATGAGCACCCTCGTAGTTCATGACACTTTCTCCAATTTTCTGAAAGAAAGCCTATAGAGAGGTACAGGCAAGAAAGCTGGTGTAGGTGTCTGCAGGAGCCTGACATGGCACCTGCAATCTACTTGTCGCAGGTGCAATTGTCTGCAGGCTCCTGTGAAAAAACATACTTTTTTCCTGCAAAAATATGTGGAATTACCATTTTTTGTTTTTTTCAAAAAGGTGAACTACATTACCTGAGGAATACACATTCAAAAACCTAAAAGGTCAGTAGATACAAACCTATTCACTTTTTAGAGTTTGCATCTTATCCCCATTGGTAGTGGTGCACCGAAATGAAAATTCTGGAGCCGGATAGCGAAACTTCAGAATGCACATGGCCGAAAACCATAACGTCTGCGTAAGTGGGGGTGAGGCGGCTCAACATTTATTTATTTTTTTAAAACTTTAATGTGTATTTTAACTTATGATTTTATTGCCATCACAGAGGACCAATAGCCCCCTATGTGATCATATATGAGTGACAGGTCCTCTTTGTAGGGGGGTGGGGGGGGGCAGTGTGTGCAAGGAAGGGGCAGGAGAGGAGCAGTGTATATATAGTGAGGGAAGCAGTGTATATACAATCAGGCTCCCTCACTGGCTGCCCCTAGATGTCACTTCCAGTTTTTCCTGACCCCGATCCTCCATGCCACTCAAGTGACTGACTTGCAGAGGAGGTGGGGACCTCCGATACCCACCGCACTGGCTTTCAAATCCGCAGGCAGCTCCCGCGCTGAGGAAGGGAGGGGGCGGCAAGATGGCGGCCGGCATCGGCTCCCGGAGCTGTTCAGCTTCAGAGGGAACGCAGCCTTCACCACAGCGGGCCCAACTCCTCTCCTCCAGTCCTGGGACACACAGCGATAGCTCTCCTGGCTCATGGAAGTGTCCATTCTGCTCCCTCTGGGTCCCTCTCTTGACCTGCCAGGTCCCTTCCGCAGGCTGCGGCCCTGTCACCAGGCCACGATTCCCAGGCTTCTTCCCTGCTAGATAGGGAAATGGCTGACATCTTCACCAGCCAAATTAGCGGTTATGATTCAGCTCCTGATGGTCAAGTGGACTCTCCTGCATATCCATCTGTGCCCCCACACTACTCAGGGGAATCCATGCTTATTGCTTGTTTTGCTGATTTACTTTAGAGGGAAACAGAAAAAGCTACCACTAAATTGACCTCTGAACTAAAGCAAGATTTCAGGGAGATCGGAAACCACCTGGAGAACATTGAGTCTAAAGTTGATGATAGAATTTTGAGACACTCTGAACTGTAACAGGATTGTTGACCTACAAGATCTTGAGAACCACACCCGCCGGTATAATTTCCGGATTAGAGGCCTGTCAGAAACGGTCAAGGATATTGCCTCAGTTGGCCACTCCCTTATACTATCAGCGGTGCCAGATGCCGACGAAATCCACACGGAAATAGATCGTATCCATAGAGCTCTGGTCCCCTTAAAACCGGATGGGCCCCCTCGGGGCGCAACTGTCAAACGTAATTTTTTTTAGAATTGAGGAAGTGATGAAACATGCCAGAGAACATCCAGATTTGGAAATCGAAGGGTACAAGATTCAAGTCTTTGCAGACATTTCTCAAGCTGCTATATAAAAACAGAGGGTGTTCAAACCATTGCTTTCACCTTTAAATTCAAAGAGACATTCATTATTGATGGAACTACCCGTTTCGCTTACAATGGCAAATCCTACGCCTTTTCTACATTCTATGAAGGAGAGAAACTTTGTTGAACTTGGGCTTTATTTCCCTTAACCCCTCCCCGCGGACTCAATCCAAAGCTGATGGCCCTCCTTCCCCACTTTTGCCTCTGTGGTCCCCCTCTCCCAGGAATAAAAAAAAAAAAAAAAAAAAAAAAAAAAAAAAAAAAAAAAAAAACCTTGCTACTCCACATCAGGTTCCTTGAGGACTCTGCTGGCTACTAGCCAATTTATATTTGGCAAGGACCTCTCCATGGACCTGTTATGAGACATTGGCCTCAGTCTGTTTTTTTTACTTGTTATTGTGCACGTTAGCTCTGGTTATATTGCCTTTAACGGTTTATGGGCTAGATTGTTTACAGGCCAGCTACTCTACTTTTCTGGCGTTAAGAACCTTTATTGTACATGTCTTACAGACCCCACAGCGCCGAGAAGAGTCTATGCGCTCTCCCTAAATGAAAGGCTCTCCCTACTGCTTTGTTTTGGGGAAGAATCTTGTTCCTTGACCTTGCATCTGGGATATTTAGTATTCTACAGTTTTATGCCACATATTGTGTTGCCACTTGGATTGACGCTAACCATTTTCTGGGCTCAGAGCCTTTTGTATCTTTCCTCATCTTCCTTACTATTTTTCATGGTTTCTATTTGAGGGTCATCTCAGGATTTTTTTCTTTGGCCCAGCATACTTGTTATTCTATACGGGTGGGTGTGTGGGTCTCACCACCGCTGCTTTGAATTTTTTCAATGTCCACCTTAAGATCTAATAGTAGTATTGTTTGCTTGCTCTCATAATGTGCAAGGATTGGGATCCCCTCTAAACATCTTAAGGTTTTTTTTCTCGTTCTAAGTCCCTAGGAGCTGATATAGTCTTGTTACAGGAAACCCATTTTGCTTCCTCTTTTCACACCTAGGTATATTCATAGGGATTTCCCTGTATGCCATTTCACTAACACATCTGAAAAGAAACTAGTGGTGTCTAGCACGGTGGTTATCCTTTACGGAGTCTAAAGTGATACGAGACAAAGGAGAGAAGAGAGAGAGAGAGAGAGAGAGAGAGAGAGATTAGTTAAAGGCCACTTAGGGGGAACTTTAGTGACTTTTCTGCTTTATTATGCCCCTAACGTGAATCAATTAGCTTTTTTTTATCCCTGTCTCAATCTCTATCTCCAGAATTGGAAGGCGATGCTATTTTAGCAGGGGACTCTGATTTAGCCTTAGACCAAACGATTGATAAATCACATACGCAGACATTTCGGTTTTCGTCCACATGCATTCTGAATTTTCGGTATCTGTTTTGGCACCAGAATTTTCATTTCTGGTGCACCACTTGTAAAATTTACGCTGTGTCACCACTGCATGGGCGTGTGAAAATTTAAAGCGTGACATGTTTTGTATCTATTTGCTTGGTGAAACCTCATCTTTTATATTAAAGAAAAAAAAATTGGTTATGTATTGTGTTTTTATGTACTAAAATTCAAAAAAGTATATTTCCCCCCTAAATATGCTACGCAAATACCATGTGACAAAAAAAAAAAAAAAAAAAAAAAAGTAAAAAAAAAACCCACCAATTCATTCTAGGGCCTCTGCTTTAAAGATAAAAAAAATTATTATAATGCTTGGGAGTTCCAAGATATTTTCAGCAAAAAGTACTGATTTTAACATGTAAACAAGGTGCCAGAAATGGTCTGGAGCTGAAATGGTTAAAGCATTTTGTTACAAGTGAAATTACCTGCTGATCTTGTTATAAATTTAGAGCTCTTCCATCTCCAGTACTCACTACCTGTGTTCTAATCAGAGTGTAATTAGGTCTTCCGGTGTTCTCTTGGAACTACAAAATGATTACCTTTATGTTGTAGAGATGGTAGAGGTAATTTGGCTGACAAAATGTTATGTGTTGACAGCCTACAACAGAAGCCAAGTGCATTTCCGGTGAGGTAACAGGTATTTCTCTCTACTTGCATGGTCTTTAACCCTTTTACTGCCATGGCCATAAGTTGTACGTACCTGGTAGGTGGGGGTGGGGGACACTCCTAGTGGCTGCAACCACCATGAGTGTGTATATCTGACAAGCAGACTACCAGATGGAAGCAATAGGGCACCTCGGCTGCTGTTCCTCCCCTTCTAGCTGACCCAGAAGCGATGTGTAGAACATCTTTTCCGGGTCCCTGTGTCATTTTCCCAAGTCTGCACTAGATTCCTTGACAGATAGGTGAAACATCAAGGGTATTTTAGACCCCCTGCTGTCTCAATAAAGAGAACCTGTCACCAAAAAAAAAAACAAACAATCACATATGGGACTTTTGGTCTTTGACAGGGGGAGGGGACTTTAAGGTTTGACATGTTGAGTACTCAGCACAAACCCATCTTTTATATTTTACCAAAAAATTGATTTAGTACAATTATGTGCCCTAAAAATTAGTATTTTTTACTGAAGTTTAGCGTATCCTATACATTTGCCCCAATATTGTATAACAGAAAAAACTGGAACCATCACCATTTTATTCTCTAGGGCGTCTGCTTTTAGAAAATATATGTGTTTTTTTTTTTTGGAGGGGGGAGAGGTTATGCAATCTTTAGGGCTAAAGTTATAAAAAAAAATAAAAAAATAAATAATAAAAAAAAAAAAAAAACAGGGAAAGGGATACAACATGATAAAACAGGTTTCTTGTTATGATCCACTCACTGACCTGCAAAATGAGCTCTGGTCACATGTCTTGAAGTTGCTCCTATCAACACTCAGGGCAGGAGCAAGACAGACTGAAAACACGAGAGCAAGCTCCAGAAGCCTTCATAAAAGAAAAAAAGAATATTAGTGCATTTAATTAAAATAGAAAACACAGCAAAGCAAATATAAAATAAAAAACAAGAGAACTGTAAAACCATCCGACATTTTCTGATTGCTCCGTTACATACAGTTATATCACCTAGCGACAAAAGCAACATAAGCATGTTGGTATCCATAAGGTACTCTACGCTCACAATTTTCTATTACCTTGCTAAGCAACAGTCTCCAGAGATTGGGTATTATCTCAAATTTATCATCATGCCACATGGACGCTGTGACTTCTGCCTCCCATGCACTGGCTTAAAAGATAATTCTCTTAGGGATTTAACACTAGCAGCTATTCTGCTAAAAATAATTATATAACAGCTGTTCTACTGGTAAAATTGGAGCAAAAAACCTTAATATACCCACATTAGAAATTCCAATTAAAATTCAAAGTTCTAGTTCAAGAAATGTAAACTAATCTTGTCAGACAGAAAGTAACTTGCAACTTCTGATGGTCAGTACAAGGGCATGACAGAGCTTAGAGACAAAAGGAAGCGCATCTCTCTAGCCCAATAAAAAAAAAACGTTCATTAAAAAGATAAAATCACCCAAGCAGCAATTTTATTACAGGTACTTATATAGCGCTGACAATTTACATATATATTGTACATTCACATCAGCCCCTGCCCTCAAGGGGCGTACAATCCAAGGTCCTAAATCACATTCATAAATACACATACTAGGGCCAATTTAGACAGGATCCAATTAACCTACCAGCATGTCTTTAGAATGTGGGAGGAAACCGGAGTACCCAGAGGAAACCCAGGCAGGCACAGGGAGAACATGCCAACGCCAGGCAGATGGTATCATTGGGATTCAAACTTACAGCCCTACTGCAGCCAGGCAGAAATGCTGAGAGTACCGGTAATTGCCGCTTAAGATGGCCATACATTATACAATTTTCTAATTCAATTTCCTGTAGATTTACCTTCAACTAAATATCACAACGGCCTGCCTGATTGCATATAAAATTGAAAGTGTTTAGGTTGGACCTCATATTATATGGTTTTGGTAAATCTAAAATAAAAATTGTATAATGTATGGCTAGCCTTAGGTTTGATGTTAACTTTTATTAAAGGGTTTTATTGGGCTAGAGAGATGCACTTCCTTCTCTATTTTTGATATATTAACCACTGTACATGTGCCGACGGGAGCAGTGCAGAAGCGGGTGGCCTCCGCATTCACTGTCTGTGGAGTGCATGAACACCGATCGCTGTACGGGACCTCTCTGTGAGGTCCCGATTCATGTGATCACTGATTGGCCAATCAGTGATCACAGGAATAGTAGTAAACAAGATGTTGTTACTTCCTCACATCATTGCTTACTACATGTGAAATCTGTGAATGGTCACAGAGGTCACATGGCACAAGGCTATTCACAACAGCCTTGTACCATGCGACAAGCTGTGACCAATCACAGCTCTCACAGCATTTCTCAATGGCTGCAAGAATGCAGCCAGAGAGAAGGAGAAATGGTTGCTTTTACACCCATAAAGGCTGTAAAAGCAATTAGTTTAAAAAAAATCATCAGCCCCCACAAGTAGCACAGTGTCACTATGGTAACACTGTACTGCTAGGTTGACGGTATGTTAAAAAAAATATAAAAGAAAAAAATGTAGAAAAAAAAAAGTTTGAGAACGTATAATTTTTGGTTAAACTAATAAACTAATTTGGATTATTATTTTTTTCACTACAATGATAGATGAATACATTTTGGCCAAGATTTATGAAGAAAAATTTGCAAAATCTTATAAGAAATGTTTTTTTTCTTCAAAATGTTTGGATTTCCATTTATATAGCAAAAAAAAATAAAAATCCCAGTGGTGAATAAATACCACCAAAATAAAGTTTTATCGGTCTCAAAAAAAATGTTAAAAAATTTATATGAGTGCAGTGTTGCATGACCACGCAATTGTCAAAGTGTGATCGAACTGAAAGCTGAACATTGGCCTGGACAGGAAGGGGCTGAAAGTAGGCAGTTTTCCCTTAGTTTGAAATGTAATAAGTACCTTATTTTAATTAAAAAAAAAAAAAAAAGTAAAAAAAAAAAAAAAAAGATACAGTTAGCATACAACACAGTAGACAATCACAGTTCACTCATTAGAAAAACTTCAAAAAGCCTGCCTTTGACAAACTTTAAACTAAGCAGATGAAAAAAAAGCAGCAGGAGTGATCTTCAATAACTGTAAAGCTGCAATTTGTTTACATCTGATCATATTCATATATAGGTTTCTCCAGACCCCTTTTGGCCTTCTCTCCAATTATCAATGACAGAACACAGAGTTGGCAGTGGTGTCAGATCCTCTTTTTTGGTGTCAAACATGCTGCTAATATCAGTAAGCAATCTAGTGCATATAAAAAGACACAAGCCCAAGCCACTTCTTGCCAGTGTTCACCAGGAAATGGTGTCCTCAAGAGGCCTAGCGATGAATATTGTGATTACTCAATAAATTAAATAGTATATTATCACCACTGTGGATGGGTCAATCACAAAAGGAAAATAAAGTTAACAAAAAAAACCAAACACGTTTCTCCCAGCTTCATTTTCCAATTTTGCAAAGTCGGCAGATTGATGCCTTAAGTAGTAACAGCAACCCTAAGTTAATCAACTTTGATTTACAGCACTATTACAATCCTCCAACTAGGATTTCAATTACATGTGGAGCTTTGACTGCACATCTGCTTTGGCTACTTTTATGGGGCAAAAAGTAGTGAACATTCACTGGTGGTGAATAACTCATCTAAAAACACATGCATTCGAAAGAATCCCCAGGAATGAATGTCAGATTCATGGCTTTATGCATACGCACTTATATGCAGAGTTTTGACATACAAGCTTTAAGAATTCCTTATTTTTTCCCCCTCCCCAGTAAAATTTTAAGATTATGTGGATCTACCTAAAATGGTAATTAACCCAAAAGCAAACATTATATTCCAGCTTACCAATTCTTAGAAATGGTAGTTTTCTTTTAGGGTTTTTAGCTGGTGAGCCAACCAGAAAATCTGTTTTTCAATAGACATGCTGTCCAGCAGATGCAGCAGTCAGAGGGTTGAGACAAGCCATTTACCTCTGACAGGAATGCTTCCAAGGATCAGCTTTTATGTAAAACCTAAAAGGAAAACAACTGTTTGCTCCAACTACCTATAAAATGTTACCTGGAGTTCAGCTTCAATTTGTTAGTGTATCTAAATATACTACTACATCTAATGTTCCCCTTCCCCAGACTAATGATGCTGCTGTCCAAAAGTGCTCCTTCATCCAGAGTGGAGGCAGTCTTATACAGGAGGTGTGTTACTAGCCAGATCATCAGGTGAAAACAGAGAAAACACACCTTATGATTATCAAGCTAAAATGTGTTAAATTTTTGGTCTTGAGTTTAATACCACTGTCATGGTGCTCTACAATGTGACCAGTCAGGACACTAGTCAGACTATCCTCCAGTCATAGCTGAGAACGGAGGGCCCAATCAGACAGGTGAACCTAGTGGTGTATTTAGGTTTTGTGCTGCCCCAGGCAACACAAAAATCATCTGCCCCCTTGCACATCGAGCAACACCACCCCCCCCCCCCTTCCCCCTCCCACAGAAAGAGAGCCTGACATTGACCAACAACATCCCTGCACCCCACACGGGAGAGTCTTCCACTAACCCCCTGGCCATAGAGAAAAAGACTCATCTTCGAAGCTCCGGACATCCCTGGGAATGAGAGTCAGGCTCTACATACAACACCAGGCAGCCTGCAGCCTCTCTTGGATCCCAACTGGTTCCCATGGCGCGTGTCCCTTCTTTCATCCCTTCTTCTGAGGGGAGGTGCTGCCCCCCCGAAAAATGCCACCCTAGGCAGGTGCCTTGTGGTAAATACGCCCCTGGGTGAACCCTGAACAAACCACTTGCGTGGAAGCGGCCTTACAATTATAGGCCATCACAGGATTCCTGTGATCAGGAGCCGGGTCTCCTAGCTCCAGATTGTTAAGAGATCAGGAGCTTGTGGTGACAGCTTAGTCTATGTGCTGAAACATGTGCTCCACCTCAAAGGCTGAAGCACTTACGTGGCATCTTGGAAGACGACCCACTTCCATGATGTGTCGCACATATGCCTTACATTACTGTCAACAGGTTAAGCATTCCTTTGCAACTTGAATGTTTAACATCAAACATACTATATAAGCTACCAGTACTTCAGTTCAGCCTAATGTCTCAAAATTTCTCTAGGAACCTAAATAAACCTGTTGGGTGAAGGAGGGGGAGCATACAAACTTGTGCCATATAGCAAAGAGTATGACTGAACTTCTTGTCTTTATCATTGTGATCTTCGGCTAAAGATTTGTGATGTTAGGCTCACCTAGGAACCATGAGCAAAGTCCACCCAAGGTGTAAGACAATTTATATATATTATATACAGAGCTTGAAAAAGCCGCTCACCCGCTAGCCAAATGCGAGGAGAAATTCTCGAGCGGCAAGCACAGATGGAGCGGCTGCGCTCCAAGCCTCATTGTGAAGCCGAGTTCCGGTTTCCGAGTTCTTGCTTCTTCAGCACCACCGCTGAGGGGACAGGTGCAGGAGGGGTCCGCTCTCCTCTGCTGAGAGGAGACACCCTCTCCACCGCTGCAGGGGACTCAAGGAGTAAGTACTGTATACATGTCATATCACTATAATGGAGTACAGGGGAGGGGGATATACATTACTGTATACATGTCATATCACTATAATGGAGTACAGGGGAGCTGGGATATACATTACTGCATACATGTCATATCACTATAATGGAGTACAGGGGAGGGGATATACATTACTGTATACACGTCATATCACTATAGTGGAGTACAGGGGAGCTGGGATATACATTACTGTATACATGTCATATCACTATAATGGAGTACAGGGGAGCTGGGATATACATTACTGTATACACGTCATATCACTATAGTGGAGTACAGGGGAACTGGGATATACATTACTGTATACATGTCATATCACTATAATGGAGTACAGGGGAACTGGGATATACATTACTGTATACATGTCATATCACTATAATGGAGTACAGGGGAACTGGGATATACATTACTGTATACATGTCATATCACTATAATGGAGTACAGGGGAGCTGGGATATACATTACTGTATACACGTCATATCATCACTATAGTGGAGTACAGGGGAGCTGGGATATACATTACTGCATACATGTCATATCACTATAATGGAGTACAGGGGGGGCTGGGATATACATTACTGTATACATGTCATATCACTATAATGGGGTACAGGGGGCTGGAGCTGGATATACATTACTGTATACATGTCATATCACTATAATGGGGTACAGGGGAACTGGGACATACATTACTATGATTACTGTATACATGTCCTATCACTATAATGGAGTACAGGGGAGGGGGATATACATTACTGTATACATGTCATATCACTATAATGGAGTATAGGGGAGCTGGGATATACATTACTGTGTACAGTTTTATATTTTGGACTCTATTTTAAAGAAAAATGTAATTTTAGAAGCTTTAAAGGGGGCGTGGTTGGGGGCAGGGCTGGGGGCGGCATTGGGGCGGACCTGGGCAAGGTTGGGTGGGGCAACTGGTGGAGAGTAAGGTTTGTGCCTGGCTAATAGGTCTAGACTCGTAATGTTAAGCCCTGTTTATATATAATATATCTCTAATAAAATTGCTATACAGGGAATTTTGTAACTTAATGTTATTAAATTTAATGTTATTAAACATTCTTTCCATTTCAAACAGCAGTCACTATGATTTTCTAAAACGAATGAAAAATTCAAAGATATAAATCACCCTGGAGTAGCTCTGTATACCAATGGTGTTCAAAAAGTTCCCAGAAAAGTTGATTCCTGCTTGTGCAATTGGCTCGCTGATTTTCTCATCTACCCAAAAGATAGAAGTCAAATTTTAAGGAATAGAAAATTTCAGGTATCGTAAGAATGTATCAAAGGGTTAACAAGGTTTCCCGAATTCTAACGGAGTGCCTACACTGCAGTTTTCATCATTAGAGCACTGAGATTTTATCAGGTAGTTAGAACAAGAAACCCTCCCTACTCAAGAATCAGTCTGGAAAGGACGTGCTGAAATAAACAGCTATACCTTCAGAACAGAAAACACATAGGGCTCTACAACAAAGTTGATTAGAATCATGCAATGTACTCTACATTGATCACTCACTTTGTTTTTTTTATTCATCCCAACAACAAATGTGGAGTTACACATTAACCACCTTCCACCCGCCCTATAGTACAATGACGGGCGCAAGGTGGTTCTCTCGTTCTGATAGGACATCATATGATGTCCTTCCATTCTCACCGCGCAAGCGCGGCTCAGGGAGCGTGCAGCGATCGCCGGTGCGCTGTGTCCCTCAGACACAGCAGATCACGGAAAGAGCTCGGTCATGTGATCAGCTGTGTCCAATCACGGAAATGCCGGTTATCGTCATTTCTCTCCTCTCGAGCGGTCACGCTGACAGCTCGAGAGGAGAGCTGGTAATCGGCTTTCCGCGGAGGGGACATGTACACTGATCATCAAGGCACACTGATGATCAGTGTGCCCTGATGATCAGTGTGGCCCCAGAAGTGCCCCCTGTCAGTGCTCATCAGTGCCACATGCCAGTGCCCATCATTGCCACATATCAGTGCATACCAGTGCACATCAATGCCACATATCAGTACCCATCTGAGCTGCCTTTCAATGCCAGTCAGTGCCGCGTATCAGTGATGCCTGTCAATGCCCATCAGTGCAACCTACCAGTGCCTCATCAGTGCTACCTATCAGTGCAGCCTATCAGTGCCCATCACTGCAGCCTCATTAGCGCACATTAGTGAAGGAGAAAAATCACTTATTTACAAAATTGTATAAACAAAAACTAAGAAATTTTTTTTTTTTTTTTTTATTTTCAGTGGTTTTTGGCTTAAGAAAAAATAAAAATCCCAGAGGTGATTAAATACCACCAAAGAAAGCTCTGTCTCAAAAAAAAAATTTAAAAAAAATGTCATATGGGTACAGTGTTGCATGACCGCGCAATTGTCAAAGTGCGACAGCGCTGAAAGCTGGAAATTGGCCTCGGCAGGAAGGGGGTATAAGTGCTCTGTAGGCAAGTGGTTAAGAATCACCTTATTTACTAACCACAATGAACATTCACCTTCATAAGTAGAGAGTCTCCACTCCTTTAGTTAATTAACCCCAGTACTCTGTTGATCTGATAAGGACTGGTTTGTAATGATTTCTTTATGACTACTCGAGCAACTTCATGAACAACCCTTACACTGTATGATCATCAGTTAATAATAAACCTCTGCTGTATAAGATGTTAGGCCACCTCTGCTCAGATTATTTTTTATAACACAGGGTTCTGGCAACAATATTAACAACGATGTGATTGTTCTACCTTCTGTTGTTGGTAATAAAGTAGAAAAATGTCACGGCTTTATGGCTGGTGGCAGTACCCTAGGATCTTTGTATGTAGGAGATACAATAACCCCACTGCTTTATGCAGGCCATAGACGGGTCGTTTATCAGCCGAATTTTCGTCCGCACGAAAAATCGGCTGATATTCACGCAGTTAGTGGAGCCTGCCTGTCGGACTTTTTTGCAAATCTTCTTGTTATTTTTATCGGTCATGCTGGAAAATCAACGAAAAAACTGACATTTTTTTTGTGGACATTGGTGGCAGCATCGGCAACGGGGCCGACCGATTTTTCGTTTATCGGGCGACAATTCGGCCGATAAATGGCCTGTCTATGGCCTGCAATAGTTTCCCTACATACTAAAGCTTGATAATCTTATCTTTCCTTCCAACTAAACAGGATATTTAATGGCTTCCAAAGACACCAACTTCCAAAAATAAAATAAAAATGCAAGTTAAAACAAACGTAATCCCGCGATCACCAGCACCACATTAACATGGAACCAAAGTTGTTTTGGGGCAGGCATACCTGTGTATGTAAAGGCAAACTCTGTGATAGTTTAATAAACATATCTGGTCATTCCTCCATTACTTTTGCCACAGTAAAACCAGCCATGTTATTTATTCTACACTTATACGTTTTTTTGTAAAAGTCGCTTTATCGAAGTTTGGGATGTCATCATTTGATCCAAAAAAAAAAAAAAAAAAAAAGCCACTATGCCGAGGCAGCATGAGAAAAGATCAAGGAAGTGCTACTACATCATTTTCTTTTGTTGTTTTGCACTGCTGTATCAAACTAGAATTCCCATCATGCAATGGAAAGAGTTAAACAAGACTACAGTATGTGCTAATCTGCAGAGCCTGCCGATCTATTCCAGGCAGGACAATCCAGGAGTCTCCTGGTTGGTCAAACATGCTGTTATGTCATGACCGCAAGAGCAGACATGCGTCTCCTGACCTATCAACACTTGGTCATGCTAGTGGGGGTAGTAGATCAGAGTCTGAAACAGGGTCCTCCTACTACAGCCTGCCACAACTTAATTACATTGCTGCCAGCAAAAAAAAAACTACAGTGGGGAGGTTACAGAACCAACAGCCCCAGGAAGCAGCAGGCACAGTGGCCACCAGGCATACAAACAGGAGGGGGGGGGGGGGGGGGGAAGGGACAATGCCCTTAAAGGGTAACTCCACTCTTGAGTGGAAAAAACCATTAGCAAATATAAATTTTTTTTATTATTATTTTTTTTTATATCCATCTCTCTCACATACAAGTCATATTGTAATTAGGTTATTAAAAATGGCCTTTCCTATTTTAATCTGCAGCACTGTAATTTTCTGTAAGATGCAATATGGCTACCTGGAGGTGTTCTGTATACCGATGGTGTACAAAACACCTCCTCAGAAATGTCATTTCCAGCTTGTGTGATTGGCCCACTGATTTTCCCAGAAGTCTGCACTAAGATACAAATCAGAATTTGAGCATCCCCTGCTCAAATTTGTGTCAAGGTTTTCTCAAAGGGAAATCACATCTAAAAATGGATGCAGACCCTGCAGCTTTCATTATTAGAGCCCTAAGCAGCTAATTGATAATTAGAAAATCATTCCCACATACAGTAGATTCACTCCGCACACTTGGACAAAACAGAAATTTCTTCAGAACAACAAAAAGGTAGGAATCTGCAACAAGGTTTGTTAAAATCCCTGCAATGGACATAGATGACCCAGCAAAAAGAGTTACTCTCAACAGGATACAAGGAGCGGTTTGAAGTTGCTGCAGCTTTACATTGTTTGCGATAGGCAAGGCATAACCATTATAAGCCTGTATGAAAGCTCCTGCCCAGATTTCAGCTTTAATGTATTACAAAACATTTGAAGTCATATGAGATTTTCTGCTCAATACAGCCAGAGATGCTGTGCAAGATTCCTGTATCTTTCTGCAATGCCTTTCACAACAGCAGTATTGTTGTAACAACTGAAGGTCAGCATTGGCTTATTTCCCTATCACATTTGTACTCATTAACCACTTGCCATCCGCCCCATAGCAGAAGTACTGCTACAGGGCGGCATGGCTGCGCAAAATCACTAATTTATATATATATTAATATATATTACATCATACCGAACATTGTTGGCACCCTTGATATTATTGGCCTGGATAAATCACCAGTATCCTTCACAGCGATTCCCGGCCAAAATCGGTATTGCAAAACTGACGATTTTTGATATACACATGTTTATCTCTCTCCTGTCAGTATTGGAATGCAAATAGAGATAAAAGAGGCATGAAAAAAGTAATATGACATAATGTCACACAAACCCCAAAATCCTGGCCCCAGAAGTATTGGCACCCTTAACTTTAAATATTTGTGCTTTTTATTGCACACCGTGTCACTGGGGATGTCACTGAAAGTTAAGTCCCATCCTATAACGCATCACTATAAGTTTGATCGACACCATTCTAGTTTAAAAAAAAACCAATTCCAGTATATTGGACACACCTCTAGACGCTATAACTTTGTAAACAACATACCAGGTCTCTCTTATTGTATCAAAGACATGGACAATCCTTTTGGCCTAAACGTATGCAATTTTATCTTAGGATTATTCTATTGGATGTTTTATAGCAAAAATTCTGGATTTATTCAAAAATGTTCAGGTCTTCATTTTGTTTATAGCGCAAAAAAAAATCTCTAAATAAACGCAGAGGTTCAAAATACCACTGAAAAAGTGCTCTTTTGAAAAAAAAAAAAAAAAGGTTAAATTTAATTTGGGGTCATTGTCCTGCTGGAAGACTGCACAGGATCTTGTCAGTTAAAGTAATGCAAAGCGCCAGCACAAAAAATTGGTCTGACAGGGGGGGGGGCCCTATCCTCTGCGAGGGCAAAATCTTTGGTTAATCCTGCAAACCACACTTCATGTCGGTTAGCAGCCACAGTAAGCCGCACCCAGTGCCAGTAAAAGGCAGCAAAACAACCCCAAAACATCATTGAACCTCCTGCCATTTTTTTGTTGGAGTACTGTGTTAATTATTTGTAATGCCTGCACTTCTAGTTTTCGGTAAACAGACAGAAAGATTGCTTTATTTGTTTTTTTAAAAGCTCTTTCTTTTTTCTCATCTTTCCACAGTTACGTTTTCCCAGAAGGCTTTTGCTTACTCAGTACATTTTTGGCAAACTTCAGTAGTTTTGCTTTTTTAAGTCTCTGTGTCAGCAGCCAAGGACAGGGGATTCCTCCTGGGTCTCCTGCCATAGCGTTTCATTTATCAAAATGTCGACGGATAGTTCGCGCTGACACTGATGCTCCCTGAGCCTGCAGGACAGCTTGAATGTCTTTGGAACATGTTTGGGGCTTTGCTTATCCACCATACGGACTATTCTGCGTTGCAATCTTTCATCAATTTTCCTCATCCGTCCACGACCAGAGGAGATTAGCTACAGTGCCATGGGTTGCAAACTTCTTGATAATGTTGCGCACTGTGGACAAAGGCAAATCTAGTTCTCTGGAGATGGACTTGTAACCTGAGATTGTTGATATTTTGCCACAATTTTGGTTCTCAGGAGTGCGCATCCTCAGACAGTTCTCGTCTCCTCTTTCTGTTGTCCATGCTTAGTGTGGCACAGACAGACACACAATGCAAAGGTTAAGTGAACGTCTCTCCTTTTTATCTGCTTTCAGGTGTGATTTCTATATTGCCCACACCTGTTACTTGCCCCAGGTGAGTTACAGGAGCATCACATGCTTGTAACATTCTTATTTATCCGCAGTTGTGAAAGGGTGCCAATACTTTTGTCCAGCCCATTTTGGAGGTTTGTGTGACATTATGTCGAATTTGCTTTCTTTCCTCCCTTTTTTTTGTTTTGTCCCAATACACACAAAGGGAATAAACATGTGTATAGCAAAACATGTGTTAATGCAATACGTTTCGTGAGAAATACATGATTTCCTGGAGAAATATCAAGGGTGCCAACAATTTCGGCCATGACTGTATGTATATATATATATATATATATATATATTATATATATATATATATATATATATATATATATATATATATATATACACACACACACTTTGCGTTTGCAGGTAGGGGGGGCGCGCGTCACTCTACCCACGCTGCTATTGGCGGCTGGGGGATGTCAATCACCAGATCCTGGCAAGCGATTCCCGGCCAGCACTCGGTGATAGTCGGCAAAACTGACGAGATACACCTGTGTGACAGGTCTCTCTCCTGTCAGCATGGACATGCACAGCAGAGAGATACAAAGCAGCATGTCTCCAAAGTAAAACCGCACACAATGTAAAACACACAGCCACAGTTAACCCTTTGATTGCCCCAGATGTCAACCCCTCATGTCCAGTGTCATTAGTACAGTGTCAGTGCTTTTTATTAGCACTGATTACTTTATTCGTGTCACTGGGGATGTCAGCGGCAGTTAATTCCCATCCAGTGTTAGAATGCCTGCCGCAGTCACACTATAAGTTTGATCGCCACCATTACTAGTATAAAAAAAAACAATTCCAGTATATATACACAC